TCCAAGTGCTTCAACCATATTTCGGAATACTCCCAATTTATTTTGCATCAGTAAGTACGGCGCATCAAACTCAATCCCAATACCAGCATCTATAACTAATACACGATCTGAATCAATAACGGTATTCATTCGATGAGCTACTGTTATAACGGTTGAGTCGGCACATTTTTCTCGTATTGTCTTTTGAATCACTTCGTCCATTCTATGAAGACGGATTGATTATAAAATATTTAAAAACGAAAATAAAGTATGAAAGGTATATTACCGTAGGTCAACATTTGCTGTTGCTTCGTCAAGAATAATTATCCGATTTTTTCTTAAGATTGCACGAGCCAAACAAAGAACTTGTCGTTGTCCAACACTGAAATTCTTTCCTTGTGCCAGAACCGCCATTTCCAATCCATTATTTTTCGACACGAATTCTTTAAGTTCTACATTTTCGAGTGTATTCCAAATGTCATCGTCTGAATATTCATCGAATGGATCCAAATTCCTTCAATAAGAGAATATTACATTCAACTGCAGAAAGTTCTTTTATTGAATTTACCTTCGCAAAGTGCCTGAAAAAAGAGTTGGTTCTTGGGGTATAATGGATATTCTTGATCGCAATACATTCAGATCGATCGAAGATGTGTTGATGTCATCTATGAATATATCGCCATCGATAATCGCCAATCGAAAAATCGAACTGATCAACGATGATTTTCCAGCTCCTGTTCTGCCAACGACACTGACTTTCTCTTTGGGTTTCACAGAGAATGACAATCCACGTAAAACTGGTTTATCATTGGTCGAGTATCGATATGAAACATTTTTGAATTCAATCTTCCCTTGTGATGGCCAATCTGGTGATATTTCTTCTTTCACCAGCTTTGGCTGTGCTTCTGGCTCTAATTTGCTGTATTCCAATACCCGCTCCACAGACGTCAGTTGATTCGTAACCTCGGAACCTATTTTTAAAAAATAAAATGGAAAAGTTAGACAGACTATCGATTTGAAATACAATGCACTTTCTTTTTATTACTGCATACTGTAATAAGTTCGATAAAAAAAGAGCCTGTGATAATGCCAAACCCGCTCGGTCGCCAGTAACTCCTGTAAATAAAATGTTCTCTAAATAAATTGTTCAAACAATGTTCGGCGAAAAATTAGTAAATTTGAACACCCCAATTGTACACCAATGAAATAAAAGAATTATTGCTCTTCTTGGTCTACACAAACCTTCATTCACAACCAGGAATACAAAAAGGATAACTCCAATAAAAACGTATACCATCATATCCAACGATAATCCAAATGCGTGCGATATACCAAAAAACATATGCCAGACGCCAGTATTTAAGTTTTGATGTCTTTCGAATTCATCACGCAAAATCTCTTCGGCTTCAAATGCTCTTACTATTGACAGCCCCTCCAACGTCGCCGAAATGTGCGTGAATACAGGGGATTTTGCTGAAAACAACAGTTAAATTGTTTTGAAACCGACGTATAAAATGATACTTGCATACTTCTTACTTATTCCTTCCAATCGCATGATATTCGTAGAACATTTCAAATAAACTCTTCGAATCAAAATAAACGACACCATCAAAAGAAGAATGACAATGGAAAGCTTAAAATCTGTGAAAATGATAACAAATATGTAACCAGCTACATTACAAATACAATGAGCTGCTTCCAACAGAGTTCTTGGTAGTATTTCATCGGCGCTGCCCATATCTTTTGTAAATTTGTTCATAATGCGACCCACAGGATTCTCATTGAAAAATTGCATTTTTGTCGAAATTAGTGCGTGAAACATTGAATCGTGTAAACTCTGTGATGCTTTTGTACAAGCCACAGAGAAGAAAATTGACCGAATAAAACCTGCCAACACCAATGAGATCATAATTCCACTATAGATATATATGTATGTTTTGGTAGACCATACATTTTTCCCATCATCATCCGAAGCTTCTTTAAAAGTCAATTGATGAGCTCGACTCTCTTCGTTTCGGATCCTAAATAAAATTTAATATTTCAATGTAACTTTTTTTAAATAATTAAAAACACATTTATATATATAATTTACCACAATGACACCCATATATCGGCTGAGCTAGCAAAAATTTGAGTGATTACAAATAATGCACCTAGAAGTAGTGAAGCGCATGGAATATTTGACGATTTTAAATAACGAAAAAAAATAGATCCTTCGTTTTTCTTTTCAGGCAACGTTTCAAGTTCGGAAGCCATTTTTCCATCTTTACAACTTGGTTTTGCTTTCTGTAATGCTGTACCCTCTTCTTTCTGTTCTTTAATATCAATTATTCACGTTGAAAAAGTCGTTAAAACTGTGATTACTGCTGTGTCAAACAATCGCAAATTATGCTTACTTTCTTGTGGTGATACTGATTCTATGCGTTTAAGCTGTGCTGAATTTTCATTTTGATTGTTATCAGCAATATGATCGTTTTCATTCTGGCTGCATAGACTGGAAAATTCCACTCCAGTCTCCATTATCGTATGATATGTTCCTTGTGATTGAATCCTTCCCTAAAAATAAAAGGAAATGTTTCTAATACACGTCTGTGTCCAATGGCCACCTGGTCATTACATCTTTCAAAACAACAATCCAGTCTGCTTCCTTCATGAAATGCAATTGATGTGTGATCAATACTCGTGTAGCCCTTTGTCTCGCTAAGTATCCATTTCGACCTATAATTTTGTTGAATAAATGTGACTGCACATGTGGATCCACAGCACTCAGTGGATCGTCGATTAAGTATATATCCGCTTTTCGGTACATTGCCCGAGCCAAACTGAAAAATCGAAGTCGATTCGCTTAAAATTACATTGAAAAAATAAATATGAGTTTTTCTTTTACTTAATTCTAGCTTTTTGACCACCCGAGAGACCGGCTCCATTTTCGCCAATCACCATCATGTCACCGTCGCTGAACTGACTAAAATCTTTGTTTAGATCCGTACATTTTGTAACTTCATCGTATCGCGCGTGATCCATCGGCTGACCAAATGTAATATTTTGACGAATGGTCGATGTAAACGTCCAATTAACTTGGCTTGAAAATGACATCGTACCATTGATTCCGATTGCACCTTGAATAAGTGGTAATTCCCTTAATAACACTTGCATAAGCGTTGATTTGCCACTGCCAACCGATCCGATGATAAATACCAATTTCCCTTTTGGCACTTCTAGATTAACGTCTTGCAAATGAAATGGTTGGCATTTATTTGCATTTAATTCGATGTCACTTTTGTATTTGTCAATTTTTAATGATGTACTTTGATTTTTAGCCGATTTCCATTCGGCCGAAACATTTTTCATCAAAATAGCCAGATTTCGGGATGCCAATTCATCTGAACTTATGTCTTGTGATTCATTCTTAGATTCATCATTTTCTTCATATTGAAGAAAATTTTGTAAACGGTTAAATGAAACGTATACTTCACTGAACTCAGATATGGCCCGAATAAAAATTCCACACATTGTGAACGAAATTAAATTAAGCAAATATGCAGTGACAAACATTTTTGGAATTGTCATTTTCTCCTTGTCATATATCCAAATAAACGATAGCACTGTACAGAAAAGCACAACTCGACTTGCAAAGAGGTACGTTACCATTTGAAATGCTTGAATATTGAGACTTTTTAAAATCATTTTTAGTTCAAGACGTCGAGCAGCTGCTATCAATCCTTCAAATGGCCGCTCCCATCCAAACATTTTGATGACTTGAACACCACATACAATTTCATCCATAAATCGAACACGCTCATCCGTTCGCAAAGCAGTTTCAAATCGAATCTTTGTTAACAATTTACCAGCATAGCCTGCGGATGATGTTTATTGTAAATTAGAGGGAAATAGATAGCTTGCATATCCAGAAATTACTTTGCATGGATGCAAATAGGAAAATGATCACCATTCCAATGATGGCAGCCCATCCGATTTCCGCCCATAAAATATATGCAGCTAAAATTGATACTAAAGGCGATATCCACAGCGGATGCAAGAGGCTAACACTATTACATCGCTGAACATCGTTTGACAATAGGTTTACAAGTTTTGCAGAGGCAGTGTTGGTCAAGGCTCTTTGTGATAGCCGAAGTATCTGTGACATTTTTCGATTTTTTTAAATTAATTCTATTCTTTTGTGATTCTCTCCCAGGTATAAGTAGAACATAATAGCAAATACATGAACACACCTTTCGATAAATGATACTGGAGAGGCTTATACGAAGTTTCATACTGCAACAGGCACCTTTAAAGAAGTTATGAAGCAAAGCAATGCCATAAACAATAGTGAATACGAAAAGTACAGCACCGTATATAAATGCGTCATCTCGAGACACATCGGAATTTTCGCTTTAAATAATCACAAATAAATTGTTTATTTTATAAGGTTTGTACATAGAAATCATCTGAAACGAATGAAGGGTATGATAAAAGCATACAAACCGAAAGTATAATAAAAGTTTTTCTAATATGAATGCCATTGATATACGATAAATGCCATCAGTAAAAATACAAAAAATTCCCAAAATAAATACGTCAATCCAAAAAGTTTTAAATAAAGCACGTAATAATGATGGGTGTGCATTTTTCATTCGCTCAAATTTCCAATTTCTATAGTAAGGGAAATATCCGATGATTATTTTAGACGTATTTTTTTAAAAATACAACAACCGTACCTTTCTAGTCGATCTCCCAATTTATCAGAAAGGTCTTCTTCAAGGGGTTCAAATGCATCACTTGGATGTAATACATTACTGTAGCTGGTTTTAAAAATCGGGATTGTCCATCCAAAAAATAACACCGATATGAAATTTGCACCGTATCGTGGATTTTTCAAAAGTTTTCTGCTAGTGGATTCCATCAGTTCAAACAATAAATCTATTGAATATCAAAAATAAACCAAAAATCATCGAAGTTTCATCACAATTAAACACAATTTAAATAAATTGACTTATATTTTGCTTTTTAATGATTTTATTATTGGAATGTTTTAAAAAAAGCAAATTTAGTTGATAGAAAATAAAAATAAAACAATAAACTCGTTGCTGCTGATGCTAAAATTACTATGATACAGTAAATGATGCCCGCAACTGATTATTAAGCTGAAAACACACAGAAAGGTGATGCACAAAATATACGAAAGTTATATACAAACTTTAACATATCGAACAGGTTTAAAGATAATACAATAAAATACCAATAGAAGAAATACGACTAATTCTATCTCATCATCTCATAAAGGTGAGCAAAAAAAGTAAAAAAACATGTTTGTGTAAAAGCAAAATCGCCGAGTTGCTTGGAATAAAAGTTGTAAAATTCGAAACTGCGCGAACAAATGTTTTTAGATAGTGTTTATAAGAAAAGTCACGAAATCGAAATGCACATGCGTTACTTCTAACGTTATGTATTAGAATTATCTGATAAATTATGCCGAACGAAATATTTATTGATGAAAACGTTATCAGGCGTTAATAGTAAACGAAAATGTGCCAAATGACATTCGAACTATTTTTATATTGGTTCATTCTATTTCAGTAAGGGAAATATGTAATATGTAGTATTTTTTATTTTTTCCAGTAGAAAATAGTTCGCCTGAAATCACATAGCATTTAAAAAACATTATATTGCCTTGTTGAATCAATTTTATTTTCGGTTCAATACTAAAGGTATTCTACTAGAATGTGTATTGAATGTATTGTAATTATTTCTCGCATGGCTTTCTTTTATACAAACGCAATCAAGTGATTTTCCATTGGTGTCTTCCAGAAAAAAATGAACAAAAAACGCCCCCACAATGCTACCAATTCCATAAATTATCAAGCATCCATATAAGCTCAGCATATCCAAAAGAATCGGAAAGAATTTCACAGATATAAACGCAGCAATACTAGATGAGAAAGCGATTATCGACATACCAACTGTTCGAATCTATAAAAGAATATTCATACTTTATACATCAATTCATTAAAAACTTCATTTATGCAAACTTTTAACGGAAGATTCTCGACGCTGCATACTATAGCTAATGGCATAGTTCCGGCAGAGCTAATAAAAACAACAAAAGATAAACTAGCCACTGGCATCCATTGATATGCTTGTAGGTCATAGTCATGTAAATAGAGATAATGATATTGTGCTGTTCCAAGTAAACCAATCGCCGAACCCGTTAACGAGATAATATTTAAGACTTTACGACCCAGGCGATCGGCTAAATAAGTTGTAGATAGGGAACCGAAAAAGAGTGCAATTGCCAGAATAATTGATGAGACGAATGGATCCACAGCGGTTCCAGCATTTTGAAAAATAATCACCGCATAAGTAGTAATTGTACTATTTGCTGAAAATTGTGCAAATATATGCAAGGCTACACCAATACTAAGTCCTTTAATCGCACTGTTGGTAACTAAAATTGAATTTTATCATTTTAAATATTTTTGTTATTAAAAAACGTACGAAAATCTACTTACAAAAATCCGATATTTGACATTTTTCGCCTGCTTTGTGTTCATATGCAATTGATTTGAAGCGTTCGCACTCTTTATACAAAGCATAATGCTCTTCGTCACTCAAACCTCGGTAGCCTTTATAATATTTAATGGCATCTTCTGCGCTCTAAAAAAATCATTCATACGAATTTTATTTTTTTTCTCACAAAATAATACTTTACTGTTATGTAATCTTTGAGAAGATAATATTGTGGGGTATTCGGCAGCATCGAAAAAATAATCGCAAAAGCAATCGGTATTGTTATACAAATGTAGGGTATACTGTAGTAATCGACGAAGGCACCAAGTAGATAAGCAAATTTATACTCCAATATTTTTAAAAAAGAGCGAAACACTTGCGAGACCGCCTCGAATGCTGCAACAATGTTATATATGTAATTATAATATAGTATTTGGCGTTTTCATATCGTTATTAGTATTTTTTTTCTTTCGATTTTCTGTACTTGTCATTCGCTATTTCCGAAACATATAAAATGATCGCTGAATGCATTACACCTCCAGCCCATCCACCGATAAATCTTGCCGAAAGAATATAATAATAACTGTCTCCGAATAAAATAAGCAACCAGAATGCGATCGCTGGAATGGCCGTTAAAAGTACAGCACGTTTACAGCCCATCAAAATGATTAGGTAACCAAATGATATGGAGCCACTGAGAGCACCAATATAAATGATGGAACCAATCCAAGATACCTGTTCTCTTGTTAATGCACCAGATTGTAAATGTGTCGAACCTGATGTTAATTTCGAAAGAGCAGGGCTAGCCCAACCGAAAATGCATCCTTGACTAAGCATGATTAAGTTTGCTGTTGATAAAAGTCACAAATAAATATTTAACATATCACCATACTATAAATGCAAAACCCACCTGCAAAAGTGCCAAATAATTGATTTTCAATGTTTTTCCATTGAAATGTTTGTGGAGATATTTGTGACATCATTGCAGCTTACTTCGATACGCCTTCTAACTTGTTCACGTTCAGTTGATCATTTACTTTGTATAATCTTAATCAAACACAAATTATCTGCTAAGAAAATGAACTTTAAAAAGTGTGCGATTAATTGTGACATCGTAACCAAATCGCACGTGTTACGCTTTCCCATAGATAGAAGATTAAAAAAAAGAACAGAGAAATCGATTGCGAGAAAGAGTAAAAATAATGTTCCGGATTCTTATCAGCCTGCTGAAAAATGTTATTCTTTTCTACAATTTAAATAGAACAAGGTCTTTTTATATGGAATTTTTTTTTAATGAAAAAAAGCCATCGAACAATTTCTTTTCAGTTCGCTCAACTCACATCATCACTTATACAAACTTGGTATGGTTCATTCTTTAAAAAAACTTATTTGAACAAAATATTTAAAATGGAAGAAAAAACTGACATTGCTTAACTCATGAAGAAGATTCAGTCTTTCAGTCACTGATAAATTGCTATAACAATCCGAATAACAATAAAATAGTAGTTCACGACAACAGCGTACATTTTTAACGTGAAAGTATTTGTTTGATACGTCTGCTTTAAATAAAAAAGTCCCACGCGTACATGTTTGTTTTTTGTTCGTTTTTAAGTCAGTGATTGTTTCGGACTCTGTGAATAATTGTTACAATATGCGGAGATATAGCTCAGTGGTAGAGCGTTCGACTGCAGATCGAAGGGTCTCCGGTTCAAATCCGGATGTCTCCTATATTTTTTTTTATTTTCAATCAGTTCGTTTCCATCCATCTGGGTTATCTCGTATACGTTTATTATTTAATTTTCAATCAAACTTTTCTTTTCAAGATTCTCCGATTTAGATATAATTTATAATATATATTGAAGCTGCGTCAGTCTTTGTTTATTCCTTAAAAACAATTCCGTAAAATTTAACGCTCAATCGATATTTATATTTTCGAAACTCTTCTACTCGTATTGATCAATTACGTACATGAGATCAATTTGCTACTTACCATCAGTCAGTGCGACACTCACTGCAATGTCCATCAAAACATTGATATGAACAAAACAGTCATTTTAAAATACTCATAAAAGTACCACTTCATTTCATCGCCTATGTTTAGACTCAATTAAAATACATAGCATCGGACTGATTGATGTATATTAATCGATCAGAAATGTACTATTTAGATGAATGTAATGAGTAGATTCGAAGAGTGAAATGTATATGTATTTTCACCAACAAAAAAAAACTTGCGATAAACTTCTCAAGGGCCTGTATTATATCGTATTGATGTAAAACTTTGCACAGTTTACTTTTTTCACATTCTGAAAGTTGATGAAATTTCAATGAGATGCATAAGTTTTCACGAAAATAATAAAATTCATTAAATGTCTCTTAATTTTAACTGGATGTTAAAAAAATCGATTCAATAATTTTCGAAATATTCAATACGATTTATTTATAATTCCTACAAAGGCCTTTAACAAAACGTTTATATAAAATAAAAAAATAAAGAAACATACATAATAATAATGCTTAAAAATAATTGTAACTATGTTTTTAAAATGTTCATAGTTGTCAGACTGTTCCATATTAAATGCTCCATGTTCAACTTCTGTTGATAGTTTCATGTTCAAATGATTGGTTGAGATAAAGAATCGAAATGGGCAGGAACGGTATCTAGTGCCTCGTCATCGCATCTATCGGGTGAGCAATTCTAAAATAAAAATAAAAAGTTTCCTTTGTTACAATCATTGTTCAAAAAACACAATTATATTGATACACATCATTGCCGGTATGCTTACTGAAATAATTTCCATCAACCGTCATGTCAACGTCAGTTTACGAAAATTTTTGCATACTAATTCAATTTAGCTTTTTCTTTTCAATGGAACAAACATATTTATATTTTTGTCTGATTTAAATGTTTAGCTGGGAATAAAAATTACTTAACGAACATTTTTCCACATTTTCAATATTCACAAACGGAACAAGAGGCGATAGTAGGAGGTGAAATTCGTTAAATCATTTTCATGATCACTTACAGAGTATTTATTGACGCTGTTGGAACAGCTTTAAATCGTGAATGAGATCTTGTGAATAGGAGCTAATAATAATAGGCGACCCCTATTGCATTACACATGTTACCAAATGGGTCGCTTATTGGCAGAAGTTAACCGATATTGGTGAATCACCAATGGTGATCAGAAGCCATTCAAATAACATCAATACATCCTCTGTTCAGTTATACTTGTATCTAAATTTAAGGAGTTTCGGCCAATTCAAAAACTAATATTTAAGAGCAATAGTAATGAAACTAAAAATGACTAAAAATCATGAGTAATCCGGCAATGTTAATTTAGGTAATTCCTTTTGTGTTTACCTTAGGCTGATCGCGATATGTGTCGACACATTCTACTTGTAATGGTACTGTCTCTACTGTAAACTTATATCCATATGATTTCACTTTTAATATGGTGTGTAATGGGACATTGATGTATGGTATTTCTTCTGGAATATGTAAAAAAGGAAGACGTTAACTTGTGTAAATATAAATATATAACATAATTGAATAGACCTAACCTGGATCAGATCCTTTGAAGTAAGCCATTATGCAACGCAAAACTGCTTGATGCGAAACAACTAAAACACGGGTTTGCGTTAATAGCGCTTGAACGACATTGTCCACTCTCTGTAGAAGATCCAAATAAGATTCACCAAGAGGATAACGATATTTTAGCTTGTCTTGATCACGCCATGCAAACTCCTGTGGAAATCGCTCTTGAATTTCCTCGTACGTCAATCCTTCGCAAATACCCTATGTTAACGAGTAAAAAAAACTGATCGATTAATCAAAGCCGTTTATCAAAAACGAATTCAAACTTACAGCATTTATTTCATTGAGGTCTTTTACAGGCGCATGAATACCAGGTACGTTCTGGGCTGTATGTATAGTTCTACATAGTTCTGATGTCCATATCTAACAAAACAATGCATTCGTTAATAATTGAACTCATTTAATCTATTTTGTTTATGTGTCATACCATTTTCGGTTTAACAGCTGCCTTTGTGAAATACTTTGTCAAACAATCTGCATAACATTTACCACGTGGAGATAAATCCGCATCACCGCCAATTCGCCCGAACACATTGTATTCAGATTCACCGTGACGACTAAAAAAGTACAATTGATTTCGAATTACTGGACTCGATAGAACGCCCAATATCGATGTTTGTAATAGTCCACGCACACCACGTGCCGACACAGAATGTACTGCTGCATTCTCCGAATTATGTACGGTTATCAAAGGGCCATCCAAGTTTTGAGTACATGTTTCAAAAAGAGGCGTAAATTTTCTCACTTTTTCACGACAAACATACGTCCAGTTCATTTGTTTGTCAAAGTTTTGATAAAATTCGGCCGTTTCTCGAATGTTATCTTCAACCGCATTTTCATCGCAATTAAATTCGATTAATAGATAATGGAAGACTTTTTCCACACAATACGAAATAACCGTCTGTCGAGATTGCTTAGTCAGGTGCATGCCATCGATTATCTGAAAAAAAGAGAAGATTTTAAAGAATTAATATTTGCATAATATCGACAGGTGTGATGAGTTAAAAATAAATTCAATTTTTCTCTTTTCTCATTGAAATTGGCACAAATTCACAAAACAATCAAAATATGTTTTTCTTTGCTACAATTGCTTAAGGCTATATTATTCATTTTATTTTGTTTTGATCGATGAATCTTGGGGCTACTGCTAATTTTATAATAACAATTGTGATTCGATTATAATCGCCAATTGTTGTATAATGAAGTATGATTATATGATGTTTTTTTTTTATCGCATTCATCAAATATAAGCGTGAGACTAATTAAAGTGTAGTTCCAAAATAGGATAATTGGCGAACAGTTTTCAAATACAGTTTGAGCGACCTTGTAGTAGAAGAAGTTGATATGAAGCTACGCTCATCTATTTTGTTACATTTACTTCGTTTACTTTGTATGCGCATGATGCATAATAAAGGGCGCAAACGTAACACTCGTAGCAGAAAATGCATGTCAAACAGAGAATGTGCACTCATTAACCGTTTTTGCTATATCTAACCTCAAGTGTATTTCAAATTTCATTTTGTCCCAAAATACTTAAATTTATATACTTAACATATATATTTAACATTTGTTCAATAACGTTTATAACCGTAAAGAATTCACTTGATATATTTTTCTTTCAACATACCCAATGGATATTAAATTGAACAAGTTTGAACTGATTTTTTTTTTCTCAAAACATTTAATTCTCTATATGTGTTTAAACTTACAGCAACATTCTTTCCGTTTTGGAACCATGTCGTAACCTCCGTCAATGTTTCTGGTGTTGTAAAAGTGTCAACTTGAAAAACTAGAAAATGGTAGTATAACAAATATTTTTAAAGTAATCTTTGAAGAGTTTATGTCATATTTTTTTGGAATGAAAAGCTTACCTTTTGCATACTCTCCCTTCCAACAAAGATGCCGAGCAATTTTGTGGGCAGCTAATGATTTACCTCTGCATGGCAAACCAACAATAATAACCACTAATGGTGCTCGAAGTGGACATGGTGTTATCGGATTATTCAAAACCGTTTCGAGCGAAGAGTTATTTTCTTCTGAAAAAAATATTTAAAGAATTATTTTTTAATAAAAATGTGAATTGAAATAAAATATTGATGATATGGAACATATACAATTTTTTTTTATCTAACCGGAAATAATTTCAGCACTTTTGGGTGACTTATAGTCTAGACAATATTTTATAAATTTAATCAACTCGCGTATCATCATTGTCAAGACCAATATGATAAATTTTCAAATTAGAAGTATTTTGACTTTTTTCGTTACTAAATTCAATTTCTAACGATTCGTATAAATTTGGTTTCAATTTGAACTATTCATAAAAAGACACTTGCCGATGAGGAAATTAATAGTAAAATTTCTAATATACTTAATGGCGAACAACCTATGTCTGAATGATATTCTCAACTAATAGGGCTATTATATATAAACATGCCACTTCGAAAAAGGTGAGATAGGCTTTCATACATACACATTACGTGTATGCAATATGCATACAAAAACATCAGTTTATAAGTACCTTTAATGAATTGCGGAGAGGTATTGAACTACGTATTCCATAACAAAATGGACATAAAAAGGCGCAAAAAATAATTCAATTCATTTATTTTTCTTTTTAAATAATTAGTGAACTTTAAATTATCTCTTGATTTTGGTAGTGATCACATATAAATAATTCACAAATTTAAAGGAAAAAAATGTTTTTTTTTGTTCAATGTGTAAACAAGTATTTTTAAAAACGCTGAAAAACTTTAAAGGGATTCGTTTGTAAACAAAGTAAAAGAAATCCCTTGGCTTTCATTAAAAAAAAAAAATCTTTCATAGACACATTTTCGAAATCGAGCTCATTTACTTTAGTCGATATGATATGTTGAAAGTATTTTCTTTCATTTGCTATGTGAATTTGCTGTCTAGAATGTCATTCTAATGACATTCAGTGTTTGTTATTTGAATATGTTGTTTACTAGTTGGTATAGTTTTTTTGTAAATTTTCTACAAATGTACTGTTTACAGCGATACTATTCGTTTTTCGTGGGAACTCCCAATGGTTCCATTGAATTATTGAAAACTTATCGAATGGAAATCTGTGTATCCATCTGCCAATGGGAAAATTAACAAAAGTATGTCATCATTGACATGCAATTATTAACCAACAAACAAAAAATCGATGCAGTCCTTTTGTTGTGAAACATAGACACTGCATGTCAATGTTTATTTATTTATTTATTTTTATTTCACCGCCTGTTCTCAGACTGAATATATGCAGACGAGAATATGACGTAAATGCAAAATGTTGAGAAAAATGATTGGAAACGGGTAACTTAGGTTTTCAGTGATAATAAGTGAGATGCACGCGCCACTATTTAGACTGAATATTGTTTTGATTTAAATAACCTGGTACAAAGTTCTCATTTATAGTAAAATTCCGATAATAGCGAAGGTCTCAAATAAATGTTGTTGACAAATATTAATATAAATGTTTGCGCCTGCAATTGCTTCCTATTGATAGCTGATAAGTTTAAATAGTGCAAACGATGAAGAGTGCATTTTTAATAAAATGTATACTCAATTGTTGCGAATTCTAAAATCTTGTCATTACTACCGTTGGAAAATTTCACACTTAAATTTACAACCGACGATTTCGACATTTTTGTAAACTGCAAAAACTCCGAAAAATGGAACCTTCTTACATTCATTCGAATGTATTTCAATTTTGTATGTTACTGGAATAACAGACGCCACATATTATGTATGCAACTTCTGATACTGACAATTTTACATGTATTTACATTGACATTAACAACGAGACATATAACGAAACATAAAAGAGAAAGAAATGAATGTTTGATGGATTTGCGCACGGAAAAAAATGGAAATACACAGGCAAGTATCGGATCATCATTGAATTTCTATGTGAGCACGTGTATTTCCGGGCAAACGTATGTGCAAGCGTATTGCAATGAAGTATAAAAAAGAGAGCGAAAGTGTACAGACTTTCATGAACTTATATTAAGTTCATTCGCGTATATTTTTTTTATTGCAGTATATTGTTTGCACATATTTTGAAGGCACTTTTTCATCACAGCGATTCGAAATGAAATGCGCTCATCTTAACACATGCAATATTTTTTTTTTTTGATATTGTTTAATTACTCTTCGTTTTCTATACTTATATGTCTTGACGTAAAAACATTGGTGGGATTCAAATGGTAGCTATACCACTGTTCTGTAATGTGTGGAAATGGAAGTTCTTTTGGATATCGATAGTCGGATTGTTGGCTACTGTTTTTGAAAAATATCAGTAAACACGCAATGAATAGTGGAGATTGAGAATAATAGTGAAATGAATGATAAGTATCTATCCCCTCATCATAGGAAAACTGAGTATGATCATATAAAAATGAATAATGAAGTTTAAAAGAAGATGCACAAGTTTTCTCTTTCATGCAACATAAGTGCTATTTTCCCACTCAAGAAAACGCGGGGAGAAAATAGTCACAAAACTTCTGTTGTCTTTCCAGTTAATCATTTAAATAAAAACCGAGAACGATGTAAAAATTTCTGTATTAATACGGAAGTATAATGGGAAAGTGATTAATGACAAAATCTTAAGTATTATTTTAAGATTGCATTATATGACCGTAAATGACTTCAAAAACAAAAATGGAATACGGACATAAAAAAAATTAGTTCACTTTTGCTCTAAATAAACGATTACTATAATAAAAATGTCAAGTCATTCATGATTCATTGTGAAATGTTTTCAAAGCAAACACTCACGATTTCATTCCGTTTCATGCACCGTAGTCAACCAATTGCTCAGACATGCTACATTCATATAGGCAAAATTTTGTATCTTGCGTTTTTTTTGTCCAAATCATCACTGTATATTATATATTACGTATGTTGTATACACTATGTAGTAGTTATAATACCACGATATTTCTGTGTTCAAAGAAGAGATAGATGTTTGTGTATTGGGACCAACGGCTGGAGAATCTCTTTCAGCAATACATGCAGACTATAATAGCTAACATTGCTCTCTACACGCTAAAACAGTATTTTGTTTTTTTTTTTATATGTTCATGAATAAATACATAAGACAGCTATTTCACTTAGTATCATTTTGCTAGTGTTTTGCTTCTCTACAGACTGTCTCTTTTCAACTTTCGTTATTATTCTTGTGATTTGTTTTATTTTTTTTTTCTTGCTTTGCCGTGTTCGCTCGCTGGGTAAATTTTTTACGTTTTTTGCATTAAGATGGAGAGCATTTTACGCTACAAAGCGAGCAACATTAAACAGTTTACGTCTCTCAGTGGTACTACATTGCTTGTTAACTAACATTTACGAATCAGTCATACACTGTATCGTCGTATAAAGTGAACGTATTTAAGATCGCTTTTATTTTCAAGTCTTCATGCGTTTTTTTCTTGTTTGAATAATTGTTCGATTCAGTGATTGAATTTTTTTGGTGACTATACTTTTTTTGAATAATGTGCATCAAAGACTTTTCATTTGAAAATAAATAAGAGTACAACAGTGCGACAATATAAATAAGTAGTAATTTGAAAAAAAAAACAGTTCAAGTGATTGATGAGTACCTTTTCATGAGACACTTTCACCGTATCTTCTCATATGATCTCTTTTTTCGTGCTATGAACGAAAAAAAACAACACGAAAAATAATATCATTCGAAACTAGGGGAAAATTGACCTTTTAATAGAATAAAAAAAATCAAAAGTGTTTTTTTTAAATAGAAATAGACTTATAAACATCAAATGCTTTGAGTTTTTTATATGACATGAATGCATAGAGGAATTCATTCAACTAATACCCGTATATTAACTCATGCGCTATCGAATTTTTACAATTTTCATTTTGATAACAATTTGCCCATCGAAAGCGTCATATAATTAAATCAATTGCTTTTACCGGCGATTGAATTCTCATTTTAATTTCACTTTTCAAGTGTAGCTGTATATGTAGCATGTTTTTAATTTGTTCTTTGTGTTAGTATTGTTGAATTATAATAAAAACCAATTATATGAGAGTAATATTACTTGAATCATGATGTCTTTGTATTTGATTATTTTGTATCATCATTAGAACGCTAGATTCATTCTTCAATCAAATATTTAATGAAAAACTAAGAATATCACAAATACATGTCATCCAAAGTGAACGTAAAAAGTCGACTAAAACCTACACACATTTACTTACAGAAGCTACATTCGACAGCGAAATATCATACCACCATAAAAAACATATCAGGTAGAAAGTTGTTTTGAGATATTTTTTTTTAAATTATATTTATACAGTTATATACAGGTAGTACATTAAAAAAGATTGCCAGTTCCACTAAGTTTATGAGAAAAATACGGAATTATGTCTGGCACATGGAGAGTATAATATCTGTGACAGTTAATGACAAAATGAAACATGAATGTATTGCTTGGTGTTGGTCAATCAAGAATTTGTTTATTAAAATTCAGAAAATAATCGTTATCATACTGATGAAGTAGAATTGCTTTATTTTGTTTATTGTCAAAAGTTCAACCACTGAAGAGACGAAAAAATATTTACATATCGACAATATTAATCAACTGAGAGAACTTGAACTTGTGCGGTTTTAACTATTTTAATGAAGATAAATGTGTGGAAAAGACACATTTAAACACTAAATCAAAATGTAAACAAAGTTTACATACAAATTACGAACAAAAGAAGTATAAACTCTCTCTTCGTGCAACTCAATTATATAAATCAGCGGTATACTGAACCGTCCAGTACACACAATAAACCACAACAATGTTTCTTTTTATTAGCGATGAAAATCAATTAAAAAAAATGTTCGTGAAAGAAAATTATTCATCTCAATTTGTTGACCATATTAAGAGGAATGTTGAAATTTTTTTCAAGCAAATGTGAGATAAAATTACACTGCACAATTTTGATATGTAAAATTTTAAGGTTTTTCTGAAATATCACAGTCATTGGGACATATTTTAAATGAAAGAATCTTAAAAATCAAAATTCATTGAAAGGAACATTCATTTATCTCGAAATCGCTTGAAATGGTTGCAATAACAAAAACAAATTATGACGAGATTGAGCTTGAATCTTTATGATTTGTATATATTGACATGAAAATACATTAGCAGTGCTAACATTTTTTGCTGGTGACACACAATGTGCGTACATAACGAAGTATATATGGAATATCATTAACTAAAAATTTGACGGCGAATTGACGGTCTCTTTTGAACTTGAAACAATATGCAAATGAAAACAATTTAAATGAATTATCTCCGTTGAAAAATGTATATTGCTGTTTTTTTTATGCAAAAATGTGTCCAATGTTATATGAGCGAAAGAAAATGTGCGAAAAATATCTTTTTTGAGAGTTCTTAGCTTTCTTTGAAGATTGACGAAGTGCTTTTGACAAACATCTGTTATCGTTTCCATCATGTATATTGTGAATGTATGAAAACAAAACGCTAACGAGTTAAATCTTCTTTTTATGAGTTTAATAGCACAAACGTACACGAAATTAGAGAATTAGACATTGAAACGTCATTCATCTTTGATATTTATTTTCGTCACGGTAAAACAATGCTTTTTATACTTTGAAATGTTTTAACGAGATCTTTTAAATTGTCGATATTCTAGGAAAAAAGAAGTGATCTTTTCAGGCAAAAAACTAGTGAAAGTTTTAAATGTGAAAATTGTCTGAAGCAGTTGTTTTTCACATTAACCAACGATCATATGAACAAAAAATACGTGTAGTCGTTGCTATGTTAATCAATTACACAATCAGATCACTAATGACATCCAAATAAAACTAAATCCATGGAGGAAATAGACTGGTTATTCAGATGAGTTTTCTAGCGGTAACATCAGTATTTATGATACAGTCAAAGAGTGCATTGTAGAGTATAATGCGCAATCCAGTTTTATATATAATATACAGTCGAACTGCGATTAGTCAGTTCTTGAACATTCAAATGAAATGCGACAATGTGAGTCGATGGAAAATGATGCGAAACAAAAAATCATCAGAACAGATGGTCATTACTGATCCATAAATGTTGCTATTGTTTACTCGTTTTGAATGGAGCCAACTTTAAAAACAAATTAAAAATGTCAATTTAAAATATGGCACACCATATTGAGTACCCACTGCTTAGACATTCAAAACTTGCGTTGGACTTGTGTTCAGCAAAGACAGAAAAATTTGCACAGAATGACAAATTGTCGTTGCTCTTTTGCTTGAAAATTCAATTAACGTTTATTGATAACATCTTTTCAACCATGATCTAAATTCAAATCCGAATTGGATGAAGGACAAATTGATCGAATTAACGAAGTACGACTGTGCGCAGACTCTATATACCGCAGAGTCGTTACATTTCAACGTGTTTGTAACGTCAACAGTGAAATTTTTTTTAAGGTAAAATCACATCCATTCATGTCTTTTGAATAGTGCTATTGAAGTTTATTGTTTCATGTATCTTGTATCTTGTATCTCCATTCTTCGGTCTCATGTGAAAAACAAAAATTAGGTAATCGTCTACACCAAGCACAGTGAATTAAATACCATTCAACCACAAAGTCTTAAGTGGCAAAGGTATAACGAGATCTAAAAGAAAGATCTATTTCATCATATAGAAATAAATGGCAGTTAACAGTGTCACTTTTGCAAGTTTTGAGTCAAATTAAAATAAAAAATAAATAAAGAGAAGAAAGAGACTGAATGTTAAGCAAAATTATTGATCATTAATTTTACGAAATGACAAATTAGAGTGAATCGTTATTGTTTTTATAGGGTAAACCATGTTAAAGATGGTGAATGTTTATTATTTTTTATAAAATTACCATTTGAATGATTATTATTTTTCCGTCCATAGTTTTCATCATATTAAATTGAGAATATTCCAAAATTATTCGACAAAAACGATGAAAACCTAGTTGCATTTTAAATTCAAGTTAAAATTTGCATTTAACAAACTATAGCTTAACATAATAATATATATATCTTATGCGAACCGTATTAAGATATATACGGCTGCATGAATATAATTGAAATTTCAATAGTATTCTTTTCTATCCACATGGATTTATATGTGTGTGTGTATTTCCCACAATTGTTAATGGATTTCTGCAATCAGCACACAAACTTTATTGCCCAAATATTAGTTTTAATGTCTTTCACCTTAAAAGTGAATTGTTTCGTGTGAATATTGTTATGCAATAAAATCATTCATCAATGTCGTGAGTGTTTAACCTAGAAATAGAAAAAAGTGCACTCGATTTTTGTCAGACCTATGTCCAAAATATAATACAAAGAATAAACGATCCGAAAATTGGCCAACGGAAATTGTTTTAAATGAGGGCATCCAAAATGTATATTTTTGATTGTATGAATTCGCAACAACATAGTGTAGAATTAACGATAGTTAAATCATTATTTTTTTTTCTTGACAACTATTTTATCGAATTTTTAAAATGATATTTTAAATCATGGTATTATTTCGTTTTTTTTTTTTAAATTTCAATTTCAGATTAACGACTGCCGAAAAAATTGAAATTCTATTTATAAATTTAACGACATATACCCGAATGCGATGGATACCACAAGCACATTGAATAAAATATTTGCATTCATAATATTTGCAACAATTATATCTAACACAATGTGCTTAGAAAATGGCTTGGCGAGAACACCGCCAATGGGCTGGCTTAGCTGGGAACGATTCCGATGCAATACTGATTGCGAAGGTGACCCGGAAAATTGTATTAGGTAATAAAACATATTTCACATCCGAACATATTGTTATGAATAATGATTGTGTGTGGTTAAGGAATTCACCGAATTTTTTTGAATTAAATTGGGCGCAAAGAAACTTATTCAGAAAACATTTTTTTTGGCTTTTGCTTGATTGTTTTTTTTTTATATACAAACGACGCAAAAAGAAAATATATTGTTACGTATGTGAACGAAACCATTTTCCATTGAATTTAACCATTAATTCAAATTATGCTTCTACTCAAGTACTCCCACTCTGACAGAGTGACTCTGTAAAGGGCCTGATTATTATTATATCTTCTTCTTTCATACTTCGAAAAATTATTACTCTCATCGGTTTTATATATAATGGACTAATCTAATGAATTCTAAATAACAACTGGTTAATGGGAACAATTTGGAAGACTTCATACATTATGAAAAAAAAAATCGAAATTAAGCAAAAACAGGTATCTTGCCTGACCCAAATTATTATGTGCAAATATATCGTGCGTCCAGCGTGTATTGTACGTTTGAAAATATTTTTAATTAATTTGCATGTTTGTAGAATTTGAATTTGGAACAAATAACATTTCAATGAATAGGTTTTATTCATCATTTCTTCTAAGTGCTTAAATTTAGCCTTGACCAGATCTATAGTACTAAATGTAAATATGTTTGATGTGTCAATGAACTTTAATTAAGAAGAGTCTTAAATATGCAAACAGAATCTTATGACAGATTCAACGAAATAGTTCCACATTTTCATGACCATCAGCAAATGAATGTGTATTAATTGACTTTGTCAGTCATTAAATTTGTTCTTATTTTAAATTTCCATCTCTTTGACATACACATGTTTAATTAGTTGTACATTTTATGTGAAATAAAGGTGCTATCAATTGATGAAGTCAAATTTATCGCTCTGAGATATTTAGAAACTAAAAAAAAACATGAATAGACTTGAATTTCCTTCAAGGTTGATGAATAATTAAAATAACCAACATTTATATCATAAATAATGTAAATGGCACAGAAACAATGCATAGACATTTACGGATGATGGAAAATCATTTCGTATGGCATTCATCTTTTTAATGTCTGTTAATATTGTTTTTATTCTAATGACAATAAAAATCGCAAGAATGTTAAACAAAAGTTAAATGAATACACAACAAGTTATCATTTCTATATATAAAAAAAATTGTATTGATTGCCTTTTTTTTCAAAAGAATCAATATAAATTTCATATATGGAAGGTATAAAAAAAATTGTTTGATTTGGCAGATTTAAATGTATTCAAATAAAATGAATGTATTTTTATGTGTATCTGTAATAAATATGCGATCACTGATCATGACATTTTGCCCTTTTAAAACGGCTTTGTAAATGAAAATAATTTTCGAATCTTCAACAGCTCGAGACGCGTTTGCTTTAAATAATGATTTAATGTTCTGATGTTTGTACTGTGTGTAGATTATTTCGCATCTGTAATGAACTATAACCTTTATAACAATTTAGATTCAGTGAGATCTTTTCAACAACATTCCACATGGCATTAATCAATTGCAAATTGTTTTTATGCAACTTCTTTTTAAGTTTTTTTTTGTTCCAATTTTTTTTTGCTTATTTATTCTGATGAAGCAATGAAAATATTATTTTTCACCATGTTTTTTTTCTTTCATTAAAATTTTGTATATAGTGAAAATCTTTTCCGAACGATGGCCGACTTAGTAGTGTCAGAAGGTTATGCAGATGCTGGGTATGAGTTTATTAATGTAGACGACTGTTGGTTAGAGAAGACTCGAGGACCTCGTGGTGAATTAGTTCCAGATCGAAAGCGATTCCCGAGGGGAATGAAATCTTTAGGACAACACGTGAGTTATACTCGAAATTGGGTGGTGTTTCTCTATTTTAATGAACTCCAATTTTATCTAAATCAATTAGATTCACTCGAGAGGATTGAAATTTGGAATTTATCAAGATTTTGGTGAGTTTTAAATTTTCTTTTCATCGCACGATAAACATATTGATTTTGTGCTAAAAAATGGAATAAACACAGTAACAGAGCTGCTATTGCCACCGGAGAAGTGCGGGTATTAGTGATTTATTTCATATAATTATTCAAGTTCGCACCTGAATACAAGAAATATTCCCGCACCACCGCGGTGACTATAGCAGCGCTACACAGTGAACTTCGATTCCATTTCATGTCTTACCATTTCCATTCTTTTCATAGGAAATTTCACTTGTGCGGGTTATCCCGGAATTACAATGGGCTATGCTAGACAAGATGCACAACTGTTTGCCGATTGGGAAGTGGACTATGTAAAACTTGACGGGTGCTATTCACTACCATTAGATATGGATATCGGATATCCTGACTTTGGCCGTCATTTGAATAATACCGGAAGAGCAATGATCTACAGCTGTAGCTGGCCTGTGTATCAAATTTACGCAGGAATCAGCGTAAGTGTTTTTGAATTAAAACTCTATTAGAGTCTAAAATAAACATTGACTATTGCGATTTTTCGAACATTTCAGCCAAATTTCACATCAATTATCGAACATTGTAACTTATGGCGGAATTACGATGATATTCAAGACTCATGGTCTTCACTTGAATCTATAATCGACTATTATGGTAACAATCAAGATGCAATTGTACCGAATGCCGGTCCTGGACATTGGAATGATCCGGATATGGTATGGACACACAGTATACTTTTGTATGATACAAGCAAATAACATTGGATTATTTTTCAGTTAATCATTGGCAATTTCGGTTTGAGCTACGAACAATCGAAAACTCAATTTGCTTTGTGGGCTATAATGGCCGCGCCGTTATTGATGTCAGTTGATTTGCGAACGATAAGACCGGAATTCAAAGCTATTTTGAAGAATCGTAAAATTATTGCCGTTGATCAGGATCCATTAGGCATTCAGGTATAATAATGAATAATTTAGTGCTGTTCCCATTCTAATTATTCTCATTTATTCCTTCCAGGGACGAAGAATTTATAAACATAAAGGCATTGAAATTTGGTCAAGACCAATTACACCCATTTACCAAACATACTATTCGTTCGCTATTGCGTTTGTAAATCGTCGCACAGATGGAACTCCTTCGGATGTAAATATCCATTAATAGCTTTAATTGTGATAATCTTGTTATTTAATGGAATTTTTTTTTGCAAATACAGGTAGCCGTTACACTTCGTGAACTTGGTCTTCAATCTCCATCTGGATATCGTGTCGAAGATTTATATGAAGAAGTTGACTATGGTGTGCTCAATCCACAGACCAAAATCAAAGTGAAAGTGAATCCATCCGGTAAATATATTAATACGTCAACTATTGACATGGTTTTTTTGACATATTTGTTTCAATTTTTCACTCTGCAGGAGTTGTGATCCTGCGTGCCGATGTCCAACCAGATCGATTTTCTCGGACACAATATAATCCAGTGAATTATTTTCAGTTTAAGAAAAAATGATTATCAAAAGTCTTAACGCCGACTTTTCGAAACAGTGAATAAATATGATGTATAATTAACTAAGGTGTTATTTAAGAGTTTGTAATGTACTCAAAGTATGATATACCATTTGTGTAATTTTAGAAAGCAAGGGCAACTCAGCCGCCTAGAATAAAATCTGAGCTTCATTCGACTTCTAAACAGGCTGTAAATTCCATCGCATGCAAGCATTCTGTAAGCATGAAGTTTAGATTCAATTCTAGATGGTTCAACCATGATACCATTTCCGTCATTTATACATATGTACATTATTTTACTTTATATATGTTTTTCGAGATGATCTAATTAGAACGAAATTACTTGAAGTAATTAAAAGTGCCAGCAAATTTAATTAAGAACTGTACATGTTTTTATCATTTATTTAAAAGAGTTCCTATGAAAGGTAATGATGAATTTGCAATATCATACAATTTTTTGAACATAAATACTATAACAAAATAAAATATATTCATTATAAATTAACGGTTACACAAAACTATCCCTTTTGATTCTTCTACTTCCCAATTTAAAGTTCAAAGTTTGCAATTTTTTCCATTGTGTCTAAACGTCATGCTAATTATCTGTTTGAACGGTGACATTAGTGAATGACGGTTGGATTCAACTGAAGTTCTATGGGTTTTTATCCTTACAATCGTCAAAAATAGACGTTTTAACTAATTTAAATTCACTTTGATGTGGACTAAATCGAAGCAGCGTGGAAAATTTGCAGATTTAGATTTTGCGATAGTAGAACAGATATGTGAAAAGAGAAGCTGAGAAACTTGTTTATTTTGAGGAGATTTGTTTTTTTTTTAACTTCCACGTGTTTCAATAATGTTGTTTATTTGACACATATATATTTTTTAAATGAAAAATAAATTAGTAAAAAAATTCCATCGCTTTGGGAATTGTAATGAAAACTCACTAAAAAATTCCAATCCATTTTAAATGGATTGTGACTTTGTGTTTTTCCGAAGGGCCATTTTTTGGTCCATTTTTTCACTTTAAATAAAGTGAAAATACATCTAAAAAACATCTGAAAGTGATTGATTTTTGCCAATGTACATTTTCATTCGAGTCTCGTTTCGATTAACGGCGACAAAAAAAAAATGGGCGTATGTATGTGCATAGATTCGTGCGGCGCTTCGCAGATTCTACAGTTTGTGGCTTCCCTTTTTGGAGTGAAAATATAAATGCACAGTGGACTCAAGGAGAAATCGTATTGAATAGCGTGTCTCTTTTGGCGTTTTAAAAGAAATATTTCACACAACGTTGTCGGTGTATATTTTTTTTTTCATTTGTTAAGTGGTTTTCATCAGTGAACCAAAATAAATTGCCACGAGTACATATATATATATTTTGTGCGCTGCTGGTGCGGTCTACGAATGCGACACCGAGAGGCTCTAAATGCTTTTAGTGCAAAAAACTTTACTTAAATTATTTTGGAGCTTCGTTATTACCGCAGGAATTTTGTGCGAAATTTTTGAAGTAGTATGAGACTCTATATCGTATATGACGAAAGATGTTCAATTTTTTTATTCATGGGCGCTATTTGTGTACAACGCACATCAACAACCAAATGTAGTGCACGAATTTCGAAGAAAAAAGTTTTTTTTTTTCTCTTGTGCGTTGATCTGGATGGAAAGATTTAAATCAACATCTAACGAAGTCTTAACATTCCGACATCTTTGTAATGAAAGAAAATGACCAAACATGGGAATGGAACAGGTTTCATTTGGGAATGTTGTCATATCAACAAAATCTGTAGAAAATAAATTTTGAAATCTTTAAATGCGTGTGTGATTAGAATAGTTTTTGTTCTTCATGCAATGCTGACTATTTCTTTGGTTTAGTAGTGTTTTGATTTTCAATCAGTCTACTTGCTTTGTGTGTCTGTTTCACGAATGGTCTCACGATTCAATAGATTGCATCATGGAAACTATAACAAAAAATGCTTTATTTTCTATGTTCCCGTTTCTGATTATTCGTTCAGTAAATTCGACTTTTTTCACTGAACCGAATTTATTGAAAAAATTTAATTTAAGTGATACCAAATTCTGTGAGTCAATTTTATCACCAACCGAATTCACGTTGAAAAGATCATTCGAAGCCACATTTGAAATTGTAAAAAAGGGAGGATATTTAAACGAAAGTGATCGTGCCGATTTGTGCTGTCGTTCGTTTCATAAATGTGGGGCACATAAACATATTGAATTAAATTACACAAACGAACAAGCGAACATTCGACATTGTGAATGTGAATACTCTTTTAAAAATTGTTTGGAGAATTTAAACACATCATCATCAAATGTGCTGGGATTCATTCACTCTCTGAATACAGAGAAATGCTATGCAATTGATCATCCAATCATCGAATGTATATCATTTGATGCGCCTCAAATAGAACCAGAAATTGATTTACATCTTCAAAATTTGAACGCAGGTAAACGTAAATCAATATTTAATCGATGCTCAAAATATGATTTGGATCAAGGTCAGCCACAACTGTTACAAATATTTGATTTACCCTTTAATGAGCATGCAACGTTTGCATTTAAATGTAAGTTGTCAACCGAAATGAGTTTGTTGTTTTTTGTTTCATGTTTATTCAAATAAAATATAAACACAAACAGACCAGAAATATATGCCCATCATGACAACAAAGTATGCAATTCTGCAGTTTTGTAAAGTCATAAAAAAGTGCATTGGTTTTTTTCTATGTTTTGTCATATAATTCGGTTTAAATTGTTGAAGCGTATGTAATGTGTTTGTCAGTTGCAGTTTAACATTGTCACAATCATCATGAATTCATTGCTAAAAAAAATATTTTGCGTTGTTTTAGTGATAACTACTGTTAGAGCTGATGATGACATGGAAAAAGTCTTCAGCCAACAAAACGAGTTAAATTCACATACGAGAAATTTGAAGTTTGGCAATACGCAAGAATTAGAAACATACTTCAGAAAAGCCGTCAACGCAACATTTTCTGCAGGATGCTCTACCTACAATACATTCATTAATAGTAAGTCAATTTCGAGTTTACTTTCAAAAAAAAAATTTTTAAATCACAAAAGTTGCTTGTTGTTTTGGTGTGTTTCCGCGTTATGTTACATTTTCTAGTATCTTTATTAAATTTTTGTCCCTATGTAACTTTTTTTCTTCATTTTGTCCAAATTTCAGATATGGAAAATCCGCCTTCTGTTACTATGCCTGAATCGACTCCTGCAGATGACATACACAACGCCGAAATGGAGAGAACAATAAAATTGAAATTGATAGGAGACAAAGTTTTCAGAAATTTACTGAAATTTCTGCGTCCCATCATGGATGTTGCATGCAGCAATCAACAGCTATTGACAAGTAAGTAGCATTTATACAATAAGTAAAAAAATATAAAAATCTTATCTTTGATTCAATACCTTTTTTACTAAAACATTTCGTTTTTTTATTTTTCTCCGCATAGGTTTGAACAACGCCAACAAAGACGATTGTCGTCCAAATTAGCATGAATATTCTCAGTATTTCCATAATATAGGATACAACAATGTGGTTCATTTTGGTTAAAAGGGATTATCGATTAGAGTAGTTGAACGATTTGTATGCCATCTTCAGTCTCTCCTCTCGAGCAACAGCATTTTCAATTTTTATTGTGAAAGTTTACCACATTATGGTACTGCCACATCGTGTTTATTTGTGTTTGAATAAATTTTCATTTATTTTATTTATCAACTCTATGTATTGTATTTTATTTCTGTATTTTAGAGTGAATAAATAAATCCACTCGTTCAATTCTCACTTCTATAAGAAACAGATCGATTAATTGAACAATTTTTAATTTTTTTAAAACGCTCTTCAAATTTTTGTTGACGAGCGTGTGAACTGAAAGGTCTTATCTCCCACAACAATCCATAACCTTTAGATGTATTTTCACTTTATTTAAAGTGAAAAAATGGACCAAAAAATGGCCCTTCGGAAAAACACAAAGTCACAATCCATTTAAAATCACGTTCTGTAAATAGTGGAAAATTCCAAATTAGAATGAAATGCAGCCGAGAATTATCTTTTATTCTTCTTTGTTTATTAAAAATCAAAATTGCGAGTAGGCAATGAATAAAAAAAAACATTCTCTATATCTTAACAACAAAAAATTGGTCATTCACAAGAATTTTCATCATTAAAAACAATATTTCTTCAGCCTCGGGGCAAAAATTCTAAAAATAAAATATAAAGACCTGAACAAACAGAAAATAATATCTTTACATAGTATACCAAGAAAAGCTTCTGACGTATTCAATTTCTTATGCGTAAACAAGAGATCAACAACATCGGCTTTCCCAAAATGTCGCTATGGATCGAAAACATGAGAAAAAAAAATCAATTTCTTCTGAAATGGGAGCATTCATTTTTATATGATGATGTGCCAAATGAATCGTCTGCCAAATTCAGAAAAAACTCAACCGTGAACTTCTTTTAAGTTATTATACTGGTCTTTGAACGAAGTTTTTCTTAATTTGGCAATCTATCAAATCAATTAATTGAAATTGATTTGCAGAGAAAAATGAGGTATTTTTCATAGCAATGATTCAATTAAGGCATTGTTTATTTTCTGCTTTTTAAAATGCATCATCAAAACCGAATACTTTCAATGTTATTCACCTTTCGTTCAACTCTTTATCGGTAGTTTAAATGCGCGATGAAATCTGAATTACTAAAAATAACTTACTTGGCGAGAGAGATGGTGTCTGTATTGATACTGGATCAGTTGCGTTTTGATTTAAAGTTTTCTTCATTTTGTTGGCGTTACAAATCGTGATGATGGGTGCCATAATAACTTTGCTATGAACGTTCGAATTTATAAATTCGCGTCGAAATTAAATATTCGAGTTGAAAAAAAATTGACAAATATAATAACGATCGTTAACGATCTTAGCTTCTTTGTTGACATTAAATAGCAGTGAGATCAAATGCTGGTTTTTTGTATCGATGTCTCCAGTTGCAGTGAGGTTTCAATCATAATCAAGAATTCTTTATAGAGCACTTATTTAAATTGAAATATTCAGTTCTCGGATGATATTCGGCTTTTCTCTTATCAACTTATCAAGGTTAAGTTGTTAATTATTTAATATTCTCTTTTCATTGAAATCGCGATTTTTAGTCAATTTTACGTTAATTGATAGGTCAGTCAGTTTGGATTTTGTGTTCTCAATTCCATAACTGTTAAAATCTTCTTTCGTTACTTATCACTTTGACCGTCTCTCCAAATAAAATATTTACCGTATTGCTCAAAACAATTTAACTACACGCAATAATAATAATAAAACAACAATGACAACATTTAAAAGCAAAACTCATTGAGAATTCAAATCGAATGTTCAAAAAAATGATCGGAAGATGTGTAACGAATGAAACTTGCAATATCCTTCATTCCTTGAATCATAGATGTATGAGCACAATTGAACAACAGTTTATTCATCTTATTAAAGAATCGTTCTAAATTATTGATTTGTTTTCCGTCCTTCTTTTTTTTATCACGTCATTTTCCAATAAATCGATTTTATTTGAAATGGTAAATATTGTTTCCTCCTTTTTGGCGTATTGTTTGTTGTCGCTTTTATGTCCTGGAAAAAAATAATCATACGTTTATTATGGGCAGTTATTATATTTACACTTTGAATGAAAAGTGTGAAGAAATTATAACAAATTGAAAAGAAAGAAAAAAAAACACGGAAATGTTGTTTGTGAAAGCTCCGAAAAATAAAGTGTACTAATTTTTTTGAAGAAAAAAAAAAGTTATTTAAATTGCTATTCAAATCTGTGGAGTACACCTTTGTACACTTGACGTATAAGATTGCTTATTAAATGTACCCTTGACCGATTGATTTGATAAAAAACATGAACTCAATTTACTTGGCCTTGGTTGTCGATTTTTATTTTAATTGATAACTTGTTCATGGAATTCATGTACTAAAATATTTATGTCGTGAATATATTTTGGTATTCTCAAAGTATTTAAAAGCCGAATGTAGAAGATCTTTTCATAAGTTATCTTACAGATGCAAACAGTAAGTGTGTCTTTTTATTGTTTGGAATGAAATATGTGTGTCTGCCAGACATATTATTAAAAACTGGCTTTATCACCTTTATTTCACATTGATAGGTTTTCCAGTTTGCATAAAAAAATAGCCATATTCAAATCGGAATGTCAATATGTAACCAACATTTTTTATACAAATATTATAATCTGTGTATCGGGAATTAGAAAAAAAAACATATCATATCAACAAACTAGGAAAGAAAAAATTATGTAATATATTTATTTTCTCGGTGCTCCTTTATATGTTTTTTTTTTTTAAATAATAACAACAAATTATCATACATTTATTTTTTGTTCGTGCATTACGTAAAAATGTTTTATTATTATCAATATATTCATCTCGCATTTGACGCGAATAACATTGATCCGTGATAAAAACAGCAATGATTTTGACTAAGTGACATTGATCATTTATAACCACGAATGTAATGAATTTAAACAGAATTCATATTCTTTGTGAGTCAGTTGCCTTGCATATGTTCTATTCTATGCTATTAAATGTTTTTTATTGAAATTGAATACATTATATTTTATATTGTATTCAAAACCACGTGCTGTAACCATAGTAGCTATATGTCAACACATTATAAGTGCAAAATATCACATCATCAGCGGCAAACACAATAATAAAAACATTATGCGTACAATATTGACCAGACACAGAACATTAGAGCGATGTTTCAAGTGTTTTTTCTCATTGTCTTTTTGCATAAAACGTAAGAGTATACGAGCTAACATGTCTCAGTGTCTTTCGCTCAATGACATATGATGTGAGGGCATGACACTTACAGCAAATTTAACTTAAATAGGTCGTTAAGAAATAGATATCAACTCGATAACTTGGTTTATTGAATGAAACATACTTTGTGACTTCAAAATGCGGGCATTTTTAAAAATCGATGTGAATGAAAATTTGCAATTTTTTTTCAACTTTAATTCTCACTCATTCACCTTGCTTTCACAAATACCATTTCAACATTCGATTTTTTAGCTTTGAACGCCACTTTTCACTACAGAGTAAATTTCAAACGTACTCAATTAAAATTATGATAAAATATGATTTAAAAACCGAAACGAAAACAATGGACACAAGTGAGATTCACTTGATGATTTGGCGGACCGTATCAGTGTATAACTGTGTATATAGGACGAATCTCGGTGTGTATTATTATTTTTTGACTAGCCTCAAATGATATCATTTCCATTGGTTGCGCAGAACGCACGTATATATGTAACACAAATTTTACGGCAATGAGCGTACGCACTCACACATTCAATATTTTGTTTTGGTTCATATCAAACATGATATGATTTGCTGAATACATATTCATGTCAATTTAAAAAGAAGAAAAATTACGTTGCGATGAACATTTTTTCTTTTAAAGATTTAGCTGACTTTTTCATAAAATCAATATTTAATTTTTTTTTTTTTCAAAACAATAAACATGAGTAAAAAACCTTTAATAAAAGTTGCCAGTATTTCAATTCATTCAGCATACATGTAATCCAGCGGTTTCAAGTATTCAGCCATTTTGGTTTGACAGTTCATAATATTTAAACAAACAAGCATCTTTCAACGACTCAAGCGCTTACTAATTGTACACAACACATTTATTTATTTAAAATTGTTTTTCAATGCGAAAATAATGTTCAATACAAAGGGTATTTTACGAAGAAATGCGTCATTCACAAATATCGAACCATCAAAGAAAGCACCGTACGTTATTAGTCACAATCAATTCAACAATGGAAGTAAAAGTTTGCCGCTAGAACCAAAAGATAAGTATTTTACACCCGAAATAAACACCGCTGCAAGATTAGGAAGTCAACTGATTTCTTTACAAAATTTGGATATAAATAGTCAATCGCATGATTTAACACCACGTTCCAAGGCAATTGTAACACAAAAAGTAAGTGTCATCGTTGTTGATAAATGTGTTGTTTGAAAATGGCAACTTTTCCGTGGAAATCATAATAAAAACAATTATTTTGAATTCGTTTACAGGCATTAAAGAAGTTGAACTTCGTATCTTCAAAAATTGCTTACGATCGATTGCCTCCATTGAATGTAAATGATACTTTAATCAAAACACAGCAAGAGAAACAAAGATCGAAAGTAAAGAAAGAAAATTCTACAATTGATGTCGAACCAAATCTAGAAGATTATTTAAGATCTTCGGAAATGTTACAATATAAATTGGAAATCATAGAAGATGATGACGATGAATATGTGGCACCGAAAAGTTTTATCGAAGACCATCATCGCAATTTGTACGAAGTGTATCAAGAATATTTCGATCCAATGGCTTTACCTAAATCATCCATCAACTTTGTCGTGAAAAAAAATTGATAAACGTTCTGCTCTAACTTCGAAAATTATATTGTAAATTTCATTGAACAAATTATCGTAGATTATCGCCAATAATTTTAAGTTATTTACATTTTGTCCAATTATTCAGTATTTCAACATTGATTTCATAGATTTTGTATATGATAGCTTTCACCACTCAACTTGAAAACACTCTTATTCATTTCTTTTGCATGCATTTCTTTTATAATAAGTGATTTTTTTTTTACTTTTGTAATTGTAACTCACAAATACTCATATGTTTTGAATATAAGTTTAAGTTTTAATTTGCATTTGTATTGGTCGACAAAGTATATGATATACTGCACGAACTGAAAATAAAGGTTTCTTCTTCATATGTATAACCAAAATGACTTTAGTCACTAATCAACTTACCGCGACGTCTTACGTTTTCCAGTGAACATAGAAATACTTTTTTTTATCGCATTACAGAAACAAATAATCAGGTAATTCACATTAAAATTCATAAAATTATTGCCCGAGACATTTGCAAATTTTGAATATTTTTTGGCACAATTAATTAGTGATGATTTTTTTTATAAAATGGAACCATATTCGCAATATGACTGTGTCTTACATCGAATTTTTGAATGAAAAGTGTAAAGAAAATTGAGAAAACGATCACTGTTGTTTAAAAATTAATTAATTAATTAAATTTTTCAAAATTGAAATGAATAAATTCAAAACTAAAAAAAGTACGAACTTCTTTGCTCTTGCAATGAAGCCATTATAAATCAATTCAAACATAAAAATCAATCAACTAATTAGATTAGCCTATGTGCGCCTAATATCATTTAATACGACCAAATTTAGGTGTATTTATAATATAGATGTATTTATTCCCATGCATCTATTTACAAATAGTTGAATCAATGAATTTCAAAATAAAATATATATAACGATTTTTGAGAACGATACATTTGAATAAAAATGCTCCACTCAGCGATGACTAGTGGAATATAACTAATATTCAAAAATTCCTGGAAATAATTTATATGCCATAGTCGATACAATAGTGAAATTCCATTTTTCGGTATATTTCTCTGATAACTTGTTGTATTGAGTGAAGAAACATTCCAATTCTAAAGGGATTTTCATGTTTTGAGTTTGCGCAGTGTCCCGGTCTCATTGTCTTTTTTTAGTGGTACTGATTCGATTTTTACTGTTTGAATTCTGACGTTGCATATTGAAATTGAATTTGTTTAGATGCGAATTATACAGCATCAATAAATGTTGAATTCAATGCCTTTAAAAGCAAAAATCTCTCTCGCATAAATTGAACTGCGTTCTCTCGCTTTTGTTCATGATAAAATTATTAATAATGCGAATTATATTGCGAAAACTTTTCGATGGCGTCTCCATTAAGAGTTCACATCTGATAAGAATATCCTAGAAACCCCAAAACATGTGCTAATATGGTTCACAAGGTGTTTACACACTCATACCAATGAAAATTTCCAATTTTTCATCTAATATTGTTGAACTCCAGTATTATGGACTCCAGTATTCTTGCAAACATGGACCGGGACGCTTTGAAAAAGCAAATTGAGAACATGAAGTATCAAGCTTCAATGGAGCGTTGGCCTCTATCAAAAAGCATTGCAGCGTAAGTATAACATTTTTACAACTTTATTTACTTTTTTTTCGGATTTTCTTTTTTCATTTTTTTTATTAAATCAAACATTTTTCATAAATACGGGTTCATAGCGCGGAAAATTGTAACAAAGAAATCAGAGCAATGCTCTAAAAAAATATGAGTGCACTTAGTGGAAAATTGATTATATCAAGTGGAAAGGAGTTGAGTTGAAAAATGAATTTTGATGTGACATTTTTTTGTAAAAGAAAAAAAGTTGAATAAACAGTAAAAATAAATAAATTAATATATTATGATATGGTAAAGCGAGCGCCATTCTAGGGTGTGTTATTATTGTGAATAAGTTTACCTCATAAAACTCCTTGATACACACATAAGTATATGTGGAAATGTATAATATTCATGTGGCATGAAGTAGATATTAAGTTTGTTTCATTAAAATGGTAAGAACAAAAAGTAAAAGCATAAACATTTTGGCATTCTTGTTTCACCATAATTTCAACTGGCTAATTTCTATTTAGGTTAAGCAAGTGTAGTATGATGTGCTTTTTGAAAGCGGATTATATATCTCTGTAGAATAATCAATGTTGTACAAGCGATGTCTGTCAATATCGATTTTATGTCATTTATTTACACCATGAATGTGAAGGTGTATGAAGGCGTCAAGTACTGTGCAAATTTGATTTGAGCCGTAATCATTTTAATTAAATCGATGCAAACCGAATTTCGTTTTCAAAATAATTTGAAAAAAAAAAAAAAAAAAAAAATTTCAATACATGATTATTATCACGTTAACAGGGGGGATACCCTTTAATGATGAAAAAAAAGTTTTTTTTAAAAATAAAAATGAAATCATATCGTATTTTTAAATCATGAAGCAACAAAATTCATTTTCGCCGCTATTGAGCTCAATGTAATTTTTTTTGCATTTTTTTGTGAATTTCAGCGAAGTAAAATCATGATTTTGGTTTGAATAATTATTATTTTGTGTAAATTGTTTTTTTAAAATGAAATAAACCCTTAATTATTTTGAATCTTTTTTTACAGAATGCGGGAGTACGTTGAAGAAAACGAAAAGAACGATCCTCTAATTCATGCACCCGATAAAAAGAACAATCCATGGGCTGAAAAGGGCAAATGTACCATTATGTAAATATCATTTCCAGAAATCAGCGTATAACAACATGAACATTAGATTCCCCATTTACACTCGACTCATCTCACACGAGGATGATGATATTCACATTATTTCATCACACATGGTGAAATCACTTCGACCAGATCTATTAAAATATGTTCAACAATACTCATAGAATATGCCTGTATCTATCACCGTATCTAATTAGGTTTAAAACGAAAGTTAAAGTCTCCGTGAATGAACGAGTTCAAGTAGAGTTTTCTCACAGAAAATTAAAATTAATTATAAGTTACCATTACTCTAGAATGTTCATTTATTTAAAAACAAATGTAACGACAACAGCAAATTGAACAAAAAAATCAAAACAAAATAACCAGTGTCAAAATTAATCAAATCTGCTGCAATCATTAAAATACAGTTACCATTACCATTGAACAAGTGAAGACTTAAATAGCATTTAAAACGAATAAATAATCCATAATTAGCATTTTTTGTCAAATCAATATTGAAAAACCATTTTCTAACTATGATAAAATTGAGAAAAATTGCTTTAAACATTGTAAGGTCTGAAATTAATACTTTTCTTTCGTTGGGATTTTCAATCAAACCTTTCGTTATCAATTATATTTGAAAATGATAAAATGTTCGTTGCTTTGAATTTTGATTTTACGCAATATCAGACTCTTTTTTGGGGATAAATTCAATCCTCTTACAACTCAATATTTATTTATTTATTTTTTACTAACTGTAGTATGTAGACTCTATATAAATAGAATCATCACTGTGGCAATGGGGTCTCAATGAAAAACGTTTACGTGGATTCGAATCCACGCAAAATCCCATTACCACACGGAAAATTCATTGAGAGAATCTCAATTGAATTTGATGAAATTCCATGATTTTCATGAATTAATTTTGTAAAATTAATTTTTGATTATTTGGAATCTAGATATATAGAAACGGTGAGGTTTTTTTAATAAAAGTATTATCACATCCTTTTGTTCGCTTTTTACGTGAATTCTTCGATATATTATTATTGGCTAATTTATATCATTTCCCAATTATATACTGTAATTATGAATCATAAATTATAAATTCAAATAAAATTCAAGTTGAAAGTCCATAATTTATGCGATATTATTTTATTGAAATTCATGGGATATTTCATCGATGGATCGTAGGTTTGTATTTATTGCAAAACTGTTGGAATTTTTCCATTTTTAGTTCATTCATAAATCTATTGAATATATCGAGAAGAGAGTATGTTATTCAGCGCTTATGGCTGAGTAATGTCTGAATAATAAAGCTTTTCGTATGTCAAATTGGCCACCAAAAAAGGTCTTCACTTTTTTTCCAAAAACCCCTAGTAAATCCAAAGAATTTACCGCTTTAAATTAGCTGTCTAAATAAATGTAAAAAAATGACTTTACTAAAAACACATGTCCCTTACTTTTGGTAAATTTTCATCATTTTTTTCTCAACTCGCCATCAGAAACTTTTTTCATTTAAAAAAAAACACAAGTGAAATCAAGAAATACCTACCCATATTATTTTCCATATAAAAAAGTACGCGTACTTACACTCCAATGTGATAAGGTTTCTGATATAGTTGAATCGATGAATATCCATCTCAGGCCAGCATGAATAAAGGTAAAAAAAAATTATCTAAAATCTAAATAAAGATAACGCATGTGTTTACTTTTTCAATCTCAATAAAATTTAATGATTGTTTCGATTTTGTCATGTTTTTTTCTGAGTGAGTGTTCATTAAGCAATGTTCTAACACGAGTTGAAGAATGTATAATTGTTTTTTTGTACTTTTCCTATTAAAACAAAATACTTGTCTTTTTTTTTTAAGTAGAATGAATGAGGATCGATTTGTCAATAGGTTCTAATTACGATTTAGTCAATATTTCTTTTTCGTAAATGGTCTGAAGCAAAGCATCTGTATAGTTGATTTTGGTACAATTGAGATCTCTAACGATTCGCTAAATGTTACAGTAAATCAACTAATAGACATCGGTTTTTGGTATCGTTCGTCAAGAGGTTAGAGTTTTTATGGTAAAAGATCTGATTCGAATACATGTTCGTTTTCGTATTTGTGCAAAATGTCTAACATTTTTAGTGGTCTTATGGATTTGAGTTATAAGTGCTCTATTAAAATTCCGTTTAAATAGTTATAGATTTTATATTTCATGAAAGTTTTTGGTTTTTAGTTGAAAATCAAATGAATGAATTTGAATTCTAATAATGTAATTCGAAAAAAAACTCTCCGGTACAATGTCACAGGTGATTTATCGCTATTGAGAGGCTTAGCATAAAGGTACAACAAGTCATGATTACTTCACAATTCACTTTTTGTTTAATTCTAAAACATAGTCTACACATTTGCTAAGTGCGATTCCTGAAATTTGCATATAAATTTATTGTATTTTTCTTTTATAAAATTCTAACATTCCGCATAAAGTGTCTAAAACAAAAAAAAACCTTCTAATCGACTCTTGAGAGAATGAAAAAAACTTAATTGTTTATTTAAAAATCTCGTATAATTTATGTACGTTTCAAGCAATGACTAGTAAGCTTTTCGAGTTTTTTTTTCACTTTGTTGTTTTTTCTGCAATTCCTACTCAAAAACTCAAGTTATGCATCTATGTCAAACTGCAGAGTGCATTGAAATTTCAATATTGCGGAAATGCTCAAAAAATGTCTCAAATGTGAACAAAATCAGACAAGCTAAATGACTAGTTATGAAAATTCTGGCAGTCATCATGTTTCGCAACATCGAATATTTTGTTACATTTTCTGGCTGTCAAGCTACGAAGAAAAATGAATGAGTATATTTTGAGTTCGGTTGTTGACATTTGATTTTTCCATTCATATGCGCCAATAGTATCATATTCAGGTCTTTATAGTTATTGTACAAACTCATGGCATCTGCTTTTATAGTTTTAGCCATTAAAAAAACTCGAATATTCATTTAAAAAATGTTAGAGCAAATGTAAGTCAATGAAATTGACGACTGGCCATATGCCAAATTGCAAGAATTACTATATTGTTTTGAGCATTGCAAAAAATGGCAATTAAAAGCCAAAGCTGTGAAGCGTACAAATATTCATATTCTCTCCTGGTTCTCCTTCTGTTTATGTGGAAAATTCGAACGATTTTCATTCTGTATTGTATGTGTTGTGTTTGTATTACGGACTGTAAAACATATTAAAAATTCCACTTATTTATTTCATCTAAAACTAGTTAAAATCATTCATATATGTATGTTTTTCAGCTAAATTTACATTCATGACTAGTTTAATTCAAAATTTTGAAAGAAAGACCACATTTTTGGTGTTTAATCAACTAAATATATAATATGAGCATATTTATAATTGGATATGAAATGAGCATTGTTCTATGAACTAAAACCTATACTTTGAGCGAGTATAGACTAGGGTGGAACATTTTTTTGAATTTCGAGCCATATCTTGATGGCCACTTGAGAAAACATGTCATATAGTCCCCAGATTCAAGATATGAAGGAATTTTCAACGTGCGGTTCCATATAAGACAGCGACTTGAAAGGAAAGGAGGTACATTTTACTGGAAAATCATGAAAAATTGCAGTGACCCAATCACCATGAAAACTTGTGAATCTTATTTTCTGACCAAGATAAGTAATATCATCAAGTTTGATGAAATTTCGACTAAAAATAAAGGTGAAAATTCCTTCATATCTTGAATCTGGGGACTATAAGACATGTTTTCCCAAGTGGCCACCAAATTGGGCCAAAAATGTTTCACCCTAGTATAGACTAAAATAATTTGGTTCCCAGTTTTGTGTCCAAATTTTTTCTTTCTGAACAGAAATTGAGCTATATAGTGTACGGTGTACAGTAGTAAACTACATGATACCTACGTAGCTAAAATAAATACAAAATGCAAAATGTTGCAGCATTTGATAAGCGAATGAAAATAAAAATGAAGAAAGATTCTGCCATAAAACTGGTATAATTTTTCTAGACTTTCCTAGGTCGTGGATATATTCGTGGGTGAAAATAGTACGTTATATAATTTAATTTTATTCTCATTTTTATTATTCACAGACGTGTTGTTCGATTGTAGCAGCTAAAATATAGAAAAATAAATTCGAAATGTAACAATTAAAAAAATTAAATTTGAATGGTAAAATTTTGAAAAATGTAGCAATTACAAAAACGAATAAAAACTACATCTAAAAAGTTGTGATATGTACTAAAATTGGGTGGTACTAAACCTAAGGAACCGAATGGAAATGGTGTGAAATATATAAATTTGGGAAGAGGAAAATCGAATGAATGGACGAAAGAATCACGTAAAGTTTTGCAATGAAGAAACATGCCTAATAAGTTCTAGAATTTTTTCAAAACATGGAAATGGACATGTTCGAATTAAATCGCGAAATGATAAAATGAGAGAGTGTAAAAGAGATAGAAAACACAGATAGAACAAGTGATTTGAAAAATGTTAATCGTGAATGTCTTTTTTCAAGAGCATCAAGTAAATTTCGCGACCATACCTTGAAAAAACACAGATAAAAGATAAAAGATAAAAAGATCGGATTAATGATGAGAAGATTTTTAAATATCCTCACCTTTCAAGCAACTTTCGCTTCAAGTCGGCTGGGTAGGTTACATAAATGTAATGTTCGCTTTGGCTGAGATCATTGAAATCGTGTGCCGTATAAAATTCATCTGGATAGCCACTGGCTGGTGTGGTCGATCGTGACGATGGCATCGGATTAACGGATACAGAAACGGGAATATTGGACATTGATGCCGATGGATTATGGCCGCTTAGGTGAGATTGTGGATGCGTTGTTGTATGTAATAACGGTGTTATGGTGCCGCTAGGGTAGTGCGATTGATGCTGGTGGTATGCTTGCTGATTATGTATATGATGATGTGTCGGACTCATATGTGTCTGACCACCACTTTGCATACTTTGCATATAATTGCTGGTTGGCATTGTTGGCGGAGGACTCATGTGATCATCAGAGCTAAAAATTCATGTGTTTGGTTCAACGTGGGTGCAAAGTATTGTGTGTAACGGATACAGAGTGCAACGATATCATATTTTTTTTGACGGTCATCACAGAATTCATTTCGAAAACATAAAAAAAAGATAGACAAACAACAATTAATGCCATTTTATTGCATAATATAATTTCAAGTTTACAATCCAATCTAATTGCATAAACCAATCGAATTCTATTCAATTTTTGACTCATTTTTGTATTTTTTCGCTTCGTCACCAATTGCTTATAGTCATTTTTTGTTTGTTTATGATTTTGATAGTGTGAACGCAGTGTGAATTTTAAAACAGGATAATTATATTTGCATTTGAAAATCTACAAAAATTAAAGATGATAACTTAGTGGGCACAAAAAGTGGCTATGCAAAAACTAAACGGATTGGATTTGAAGCTGGTCAACACTTACTCGAATAATATCCAAATTATGTAATAACAAAAACAAACACCAAACGATAGAAGTAGAACTAATATGAATACTAATCCCCATGGGAAAGCTCGTTGTTCGATTGGGCCGTCTTCGAAATATCGATCACATGTTAAATACCAACAAACGGCTCGATTCAACTCATCTACAAAATACGAGTATTTTCATTCAAATCTATGACTCTAGTCACAAAAGCACAATATTTGGTTACCTTCCATTGCTTTGAAATCATCATTAGACAGTTGTATAAGCAGTCCTCCAATGCAGTCTCGCACCAGACTCTGACATTTTAATTGCAACTCTTCTAATTCATCTGGTTTGCAATTGGCTTTCATTCGCTGAAATTCGGTAATTCGTTGTTTCTTTTTATCAACTGGAGGTAGAGATGAATCAACCAATGTTTCGTCGCCCGAATTAGTCGCGTTACAATCATTTTCTGCTGACTTATCGTTCTCATCGTGATTGTGATTTTTATCGTGTTGCTCTGCAAAACAAATAAACAATTATTCAAATGATTTCATGTGACAAACAAAGTGTGCGCGAATGGAAGTACCATTTGGTGTAGCATCATCATTTGTGTTTTCTTGTTCGCATGCCATATTATCACAATTTTTCAAACACCCATTTGATGCATTATCAGCATTAGAGTCATCATGATCTGGTTCATCGGAATTTAGTTGTAGTAGAGAGGGTAAAAAATGTCTATGTGGTAATTTGGCTAATGATCTTGGTCCAGATGCACTCATTGCAGTGCGATACGCGGTTGCTTCACTCCATATCTCAATGTCCGTTGATATCGTTGATTCGCCAAATGAGAGTGTACTGTCTTTTGACAACAACACCTTGCATCGCATTATATCGCAATAGTTGGCCAAACAAACTGCATCTTCGGCCGAATTGATAATTGTATTGTGTCGAGCATCAAAATGCATGTCCAAGTATTTCTCTTCGAAAAAACTCTTTCCGCAAAAATTGCAACTCCATTGGTTACGACGGTTTTGTGTTTTGGCGGCCTGTTGCGGTGCAAATATCTCGCGCAACGGATGGAACGGACATTCCAATGGCAATTTTACCTAAGCAATAACATTAACATATTATTCAATTTCATTAGAAAGGATGTTCCGATGCAAAATGACAAAATTAATTTAATCAAATACCTGGTATTTTTCAAGAATTGGAAGCCATCTAGTTTGCACGATTTTTCGTACGACACGCGAACTATCGCGTGAACATGATATTTTGAATACGCTCGGCGCTGGCCATGGTATAAGTGACAGAAAACAAATGAGTATCACCTGAAATCGTTGAAAAATCATTAATTTATGAGTGGTGCTTTTAATTACTTAAAAAGTTTGCCGCAATAGAGACAAATTATAGCGTTTTTTTTAACAATGCACAGTGGTATAAATAACAAAACAAAAATCTATGACAAATGAATAAATTCGTAAAGGAAACACCGACTTCAGCACATTTTGTTGCATATTGTTGTTCTGATACACGTTGCGATGCATTGCACTATTGCTCTATATTCCGTTTCCATCGGCCTACACAAGTTAATAGTCTGACTATCGATTTTACATGCTCAGCGTTTCCGTTCAAAATGTTACGACCCCTTCGATCGATATTTTTGTGTTGAGCGCACATCCGGCAAAACATGCATTCCAATCAATTTGTATCCAACTGATAACATAGCACTTTGTGCCATCCAACCAATTAATCCTTTTTTTACATCGAAATTTTCGTACATAAAATATTGTAAATCGCATTGATTGCAGCACAAAAATGCCCAGGTCATTCACAGTTGAATTTTTAATTTCGATTCATACACTTTTTTTACATGAAATTTTTTTACTAAATCTTACCTCAAGATTAATAGATTTCGTCCACATTCATAAATCATAATATTTATATCTTAAATGTAGTAAAAATGGTGTTGGTTGATCACACTTCTTGAAATAGACAAATAGAAAACTTTTTTTTTGTGGAAAAAAATCTCACGCAATTCGATTTGCTCGACGCCTGAATGTATACTGTCAAAATCAATTTCAATATGCATGCTCTATGCGTGCTGTGAATGAATCCAGGCTGAATGTATGCTGTCAATTTTCGGTTGTTTGAAATGTCAAACTTGTTTGATTCAATCGTTGCTGGGCACATTTTTACAAACTATATCAAATGAATGATGAACATTAATGATTTTCATTTTCAAAAAAGTTCAATAGAATAAAAAGAAATTACGAATTCTTCTCGAAAATATACTTTCATTGAATTGTTAAGTGATAATATTTGAATTTTCGGTTGTAAACATGAATTGAATGTCATTAAACGACCTCTATTCCCCTTCGACTTCGTGAGCATTGCTGACACTGACAGATAGTGAGTAGCCAATCAGCACGAACCACCACATCGTTTATAATATCTGCACTCTTCTAACTAATGAGCTTGCGCTTTAGTCATCTATGTGATGTGTAATGTTGACAGGTCGGCAACACTCAGAACAAATACACACACTTGATAAATAGGAGACATAGTCAACGTTTTAATATTTTGTCGCAAAGTACCACATCAATCAATCGAAACGCAATGAAAATTTAAAGTGAAAAAATTCCTCAATTTCAATGGTTTAACTAAAACAGTTACTAATTTTAATTCAACAAATAAATTTCCATTGGTGATTGTGTGAAAACTTTTGCATTTTCACAGAAAAAAAAAGTTATAGACAGCAGGCGATAAAAAGTGAATTAGAAACCAAAATGAAATTTTACTCTAGTTTATTAGTTAGTTTATTACTTGTGATTTCACAATCGAGCTGTGAAGCAGAAGATGATTACTACGATATATTGGGCATAGAACGATCAGCATCATCGTATGAAATAAAAAAAGCATATCGAAAAAAAGCCCTCAAAGAACATCCAGACACAAATCGAGACGACCCGGGAGCCACCGAGCGATTTCAAAGAGTTAATAGGGCGTACGAAGTGCTATCAGATGAAGATAAACGAAAGGCATACGATAAATGTGGTGTAAAATGTGTAGAACGTGAAGGAGCAATGGACAATTCTGATCCGTTTGCCAGTTTCTTCGGCGATTTTGGCTTTTCATTTGGTGGCGAAGACCGTGGACCACGCGACACACCAAAAGGTGGTACCATCACAATGGATCTCTTTGTTACGCTTGAAGAATTATATTCGGGAAATTTCATTGAGGTTTGTATGCTCGAATGAGTAATTTTTTTTTAATGAATACGAACAAACGTGGCATTTATTCATTTGATTTTTTTCATTTTCACAAAATTAGATAACGAGAAATAAACCAGTGATGAAACCCGCTTCCGGCACTAGAAAGTGCAATTGTCGCCAAGAAATGGTTGCACGAAATTTGGGACCTGGACGTTTCCAAATGATGCAACAAACTGTAAGTTGATTGTGTAACCGCGGAGAGAGAAAAACAATTGAATTGAGTGTTAACATGAAAATGTTTCGATTCGTTTAGGTTTGCGATGAATGTCCCAATGTAAAAATGGTTGACGAAGAGCGTTTATTGGAAGTTGAAGTTGAAGTTGGTATGGTTGATGGACAAGAAACGACATTCTTTGCCGAGGGTGAACCTCATCTCGATGGTGATCCCGGTGATTTGAAACTCAAAATTCGCACCATGCCACATCCAGTCTTTGAACGACGGGGCGATGATCTCTACACAAATATTACAATAAGCTTACAAGTATGTATATAAGTGTATAAGTAATTGACACTTTTCAAATAATTTAAATATGAATATTGAAATTAAATCGGACAACTGAATTTTTTCAGGATGCACTAACTGGCTTCACAGTAGAGATTCCACATTTGGATGGTCACAAAGTGGTGATCATGCGGGAAAAGGTCACATGGCCTGGTGCTCGTATTCGTAAGAAGAACGAAGGCATGCCAAATTACGAAAACAACAATCAAAAAGGCGTTTTGTACATCACTTTCGACGTTGAATTCCCAAAACAAGAATTTACCGAAGAAGAGAAAGAAAACTTACAGAAATTATTGAATCAAAGTCCAAACAATCGAGTATACAACGGACTCAATGGATCATAAACTTGCCAGTAGCTGGTCGCTATACAATGTTTTTTAAATTATATTTTGTAATGTAGGAGCACATCTTTGTAATCGACCGACTTTAGAACATATTAATCAATTAAAACGTTGAATTTCCACCTCAACAATAAAAAATGAATCAGTTTTGTTTGATTCCAACCGATGGATTGTATCGGTATTGATGTAAATAAAGTATAAATTTAAGCGAGAAAAAAATGAAACTTAAAAAAATATAAATGAAGTGTGCGAAGTATTTTGTTTTTTCTTTATTTGTAGAATGCTTATGGCTTTCATTGCAATTAAACCTAAATGAACTAACAGACAACTTAGCTTCGATCATATTTTCTCTCTGATTAAATTTAATTATAGAGTTTCAACATAATCCGTTCGACTTGAGCGTGCACCACGCAAGTGTTGCAATTAGGTCTAAGCCTAATATTTATTAGCACATATTTTCTGGCATCTCAGTATTGAGAAATTCTGGAGAATGACAATGTAGACAGCGGATCGAGTACGTTTCTATGGAAACAAGTGCGCAATCTCTAAACTCACACCTACACAGTCTCTGCATCGGGTTACACTGCATACAATAACAAACACATCCGCATCGCCAGCATCATGCTTCATCCTCTTGATAATAATAAGAGGAGAAGAAAAAAAAAATAGTCAGCATCATACGATTTAATTCAGATATTTTCATCAGTTGCAATTGTACAACATATCTTTAAAAACATAGAATTCTGTGCATTAAACAAAGTATACAATCAATTTAACTCAAATTTCTTGGTGATGAGCTTAATAATAGACATTTGTGACCAAAAAACATTTTTGCTTATTTAATCAATTAAAATGTGTTCAGCAACGACAAAAACAATCATAGTTTCCTAAAATATGTGGTTGAATTCAATAGTAAGAATATATTATTTGCCAAAATCGATTTAAATCAATGAATAATTCGAAAAGAATGGTGCGATTTTCATAGTGCACGGAATTCATTTCAATCAATAGAACATTCCGAACCGATTAAGTGTTCCAGGTATTTTAAACCCATTAAATAAATGTGTTGAACATTTATAGCTAAATTTCTTTATTCAATGTAATTATGATGTTTCTGCACTCAAATGATTTTGCGTATTTTTGCGTTTAATACAAAACGGAATATCAGGTTACTATTCGAAATGAGCTATTGTTCGTCTATTTTTGGTGTGCAAAAATAGTTCATAGCGTGAAAGTTTTTTACACCCAATAAATCATGAAGTTTATGTTCCATACAAAATATCGATAAAATGTGGAATTTACAGCGTTTTTTTTTTAAATGTCAACAAAACTGTTTGTTAGACCGTCATAAATTGTTTTTTTTTTTTTTCTAAAAAAATAGAAGGCACACTGAAATATGTTTCCGTTTATAAATATTACAACAAGATTTGGGACTGTTGCAAGTTAAATTCAGTTGCATTTCTTGAAAAATTGCAGTTATTTTACAATTTTTGCATTGACTATTCATGGAGAACTTTTTCAGTCAGATGGCAAAATTCCGTAGGAGGTTCCTGTCCATAAAAGGTCTTGTTTAAAAAGGGTTCTCTCAACAAAACTTCTAGTAGAAGAGGTTTTTGATTACATTCGAAAAAAAAAATTGATTACGTTGGGGGACAATCCCTTGTGGAAATATTTCGATTTCATAGTCGACTAAAAATTGACTAATTTGGGACAAAATTGGCTGATATTTCATCCAGCTAAAGTTAACTATAAGTGACTATATGCGTCTTCATGTAACTTGAGTTGAGAAATGTCGATTGTGATCATAGTTAACTACGGTTAACTGTAAGTATATGAAATTGACTATAATCACTTTTAGTTAACTCTGAAACATAACCGACTATATTCGATTTCAATCATCTATTGGTAATTTTAACCGAATAAAAGTGATTAAAATTGACTTAATTTATAGTCATTCAGTCATTTTTTTTCACAAGGGATTTAGCTAAAAAATCCGTATCAAATCGAAAGATTTTCTTCCGGCAAAAAAATCCTAGCATATCGAAAGAATATCGCGTCTTCATTCGATATAATATTAAAAAGGAACAAACAACTGTTAACTGTTGTGTGTTTTTTTTTTCGATTTCCAATCAATATTCATTACTAATACCAAATTATACTTTTCACTTGACTTTTTCCAGAAATGTTTCACCAGACATCAATATGCTCGTTGTTTGTTGCCACCAGAAGCAAGCGTACAATTTTAAAATGTTTGGTACTTTTAATTTTTGGCTTCGCTGTGCTGTTGTACATCATTGATTTTTCATCGTTGCGATTATTACCACTCAAGTTTCCGCTGACATTTGGTAATGGGTTCGAAGAGAATCGAAAATGGGATTGGAAGTTTGTGGAAGATATGAATGAAGAGGATAAAGTTTTGTATAAATCATATTTTATAAACACAGAAGGATGTCGTATGCCTAGTTTCAAAGTTTTTGACGATAATGTAAAGAAATATTTATTAGACATTCGACCCATTCAATGCGGTGGCAAGCCGTTAGTTAGATCAAACAACAATTACCTATGGATCGATTTAAATGTGACTGAAATCGAAAGCACGTATGACATCGATTATATCGATGAATTGCAGTGTGAATACCAGCCATTTCGACGGAAAAATGATTTTGAAAACGAGTACCCAAAACCCAGTCAAAAGGTTCGATTTAAATTTGGTGACGTTGTTCGTGTGCCGGAAGAATTTATTCGGGTTATTTGTCGAGTGCTGGGACGAAAAAAGGCAATTTATGAAGACTATCATTTTTTCACGAAAAACAAAAAAACAACAACCGAATCGCTGAATCATAAAACTCGAATGGCAAACGATGACAATAACAATGATAGTGAGAAAAATAAAAGCAATGAACCGATAAATGTTATGGTAATTGGTATCGATAGTGTATCACGTTTAAATTTTCATCGTCGTATGAATGAAACGGCCGATGTGCTGCTGAATAATTTGAAGGCAATCGAAATGTTTGGATTTAATAAAGTTGCCGATAATACATACCCAAATTTGGTGCCAACGTTGACGGGTCTTGATGAGAACGAACTTATCACCGCATGTATTCCAACGGAAAATGATACATACGATCGCTGCAATTTCATTTGGAAAACATTCAAAGAGAAGAATTTTACAACAGCATTTGTTGAAGATAATGCAGCGCTTGGTTTATTCCAATATTTGAGACGTGGATTTAAGGATCAACCAACCGATTACAGCATGCGTCCAATTTTAATAGAAATGGAGCATCACACGGCTAAGCAAAAACAGTCGAATACATTTTTGTGCATGGGAAAGCGGCGAACGTTTGATGTTTTTTTTGAATATGTACAAAAATTTATCACATCAATGACAGACCGTCTACACTTTTCATTCTTTTGGTCAGCCAGCTACACGCATGATTACCTCAATATGCCGGTCATCATTGATAGTGACTTGGCCGAATTTCTGAGTGAAATGCAAATATCCGGCGCTTTGGACAATTTATTTTTAATTTTAATGAGCGATCATGGCTTGCGATGGGGTGGTTTCAGAAGCACATATCAAGGTATGGTAGAAGAGAGACAGCCATTTTTATTTTTCATTCCGCCCAAACGATTCGCCGAACGATATCCCGAAGCAATGCGAAATTTAGTAAGAAATCGTCGTCGTTTGATTACACATTTTGATTTGTACGAAACTTTACGGGATTTAGCCGATTTAAAAACACTCGAATCAAATGCAATAAGAGAACGAGCCAAAGACTTAAAAGAAGCAGACCCATTGCCGCGTGGCATTAGTGCATTTTTACCAATTCCATCGTCAAGATCGTGTTACGATGCAGCCATATCAGCACATTGGTGTACGTGTCACGAAAGATTTGATTTGCCAGCAACGGATCCTCGGGTCAGCGAAGTCGCTCGATTAATTGTTAGTGAAATAAATGCATTGATTAAGCCATATCCACAATGTCGACTTTTACGATTAAATTCCGTTTTTAATGCAAATTTAGGCACTTCAAATGAAAACTTTCGAAATGTTACAAATAATTTTGTCGATGTAACGGTTCGATTACAAACTAGGCCCGGACTTGGTGAATTCGAAGCAACCGCTCGCATTCATGAAAACAACAATTTCGAATTGACCGGAACAGTTAGTCGAACCAATTTATATGGAAAACAAAGCTATTGTATCGACGATTACAAATTGAAATTGTATTGTTTTTGTGATAAATTCCAATAATAGCAATTACATATGATGACAATAAAGATGATTGAATAGATTGAGTAGAGTATATTCGATATTTTGTACACCGATTAAGCATATGTATTATGGTATTGTTCTTATCCTAAAAAAAATAGCCTTATTATTTGGAATAAAATATTGTTTTAAAACAAAATGACCGAAATTTCATCACTAAGTCAATTTGTCTTACTTTAATCCTCTTGGTAATCCTTCAATATTCACTGAACGTATGAGATGTACATTCTATTTGCTCAACCTTTAATTGTTCTGGATTTATATTTGAATGAATTCCAAAGTCACGGTAAGTTAAAAAGAGCACATGGTAAAAAAGTCATGCAACAGAAAAAGTTCAAGTTACAAATTAAGTGATTATGGAATTAAGGGATCCAGCATGGCGCAACATTACTTACATGTAAAACTGGTTTTTTCATTTTATTTTTTTTTCTTACCCACAAAATCCATCATTAAAATATACATACATGAGTACAAAGAATGTGTTCTCTTCATTCATATTTTATGAGTTCAACACTGATATGACTTTGTATAAAGTTTATTTCTGTAAAACAACAAAAAGTTTATTATAGATTGTTTTTTACTCGTTACAATGTCAAGTTCAAAGATAACGTCGAAGTGTGAACGAAACCCCAAGTGGTAGAACCGCGTAGAACGAATGAATGAAAAAACGAATGTACCATATAATGATAGCCGCAGACGAAAAAGAAACAGTTGTAAAAATCGATAAAAATGGTTTGAGCTTCGTAGCGAAATGTCATATCAAAATCAACGCGAATGAAATAGCATTATTGATCATGTTATTTGTGCATGCATGCCACTGTAAAAATCAAAATCTTAATTGTCTTTTGCATGTTGTAGTCCAGTTTATTATTCATACTAATTTCTTGAATGATGATGTTATATTTGAATATGTAAAAAAGTCATTTGGCGTCAACCATGCAATTAATTCGGTTCCTCATTAACTGTCATTAGAATAAAGTGATTGCATATTAATGCTTCATATTTCGTTATCATCCACTTATCAAACATGGTAATTTTAGTTGGCTCGTGTTAGAGCCACTGATGTGGAAACTCAATTAACCGATATTTAGAACAATGTTCTCATACAAACTTGTGCAATGTTTGTGGATTATGTATTTATCGTTGAAGGTTGTTTGAATAACATCATGGCAGCGCTCAAAATTCAGCCACATGCAAAACATATGTTTTGATGAGCTTTGTCGTTAAATCCGCATATCTTACCTGCATTATTTAATTTGTGAAATGTACACCATACCTACCTACCAATAATAAATTTCTCATTTTCAAGCAATTTCACATTGATGTGATTTACGAGGATTTTATTAATAAGGGTGCATTGAAGCATCATATCATCAAAGTGAAGAAAAATGTAAACATTTTTTGTTGTTACCAAACGCATCATTGAGTATATCGATTAATGGATGGCCAAACATTTAAAAAGACCAATTACATGCATCAAAGGCAATGCTCCCTTTGAATATACACGTTCATTTTAATATTGTGGCTGCAACGCAGTTGAAATAAATGGATAAAAATTCTACGCAGTTATAATCCGATGAATTGGTATTCTTTTGAAACGTTAAAAGGAATTTCGACGCATTTTTTACATATTTTCTGAATTCAAATGAGTTATTTTTGGTAGATGTTGGTTTTAAATATATTTTACTTTCATTTCCATCAATAGCCATGACTTGAGTTGCATAATACATTTCATATGATTAATAAAATTGATAGAAAAATTCTTGCGACGGTCAGGAATGTTTATCATTTAGCTTCAAGTTGTAGGTCATGACCTGTTGTTGATCCTTTTTCGTTTTACTGCTTGACTGAAAAGACAATCAAAAATTAATTCCTTCCTCTGCGCTGGTATTCTGATTGATAAAAATGTGCCACGACGACAAAATTATAATAGAACCGGAAATGAGAACAATTTTATATTATAAACGAAACATCTTACAAATCGAAAAAGAAAAGATCGTTATCCTTGCGAATCTTGTAATTATTCGAACTTAGAGAATTAATCAAGAAGAGATGGAGATGAAATTTAAAACTTTAAGAAAAAGGTTAATTCAATTGAATCGGTTAGAATATTCGTGAACTCAAGAAATTTGTTAAACTAAAAGAGCAATATAAAAAAATATATGAGTTGCAGTTTGATTCTGACAAATTTCTTGAGGTCACAAATATTCTAGCCTTTAAAATCACGATAATACACTCGATCAAGTCTAAAAAAATTCAAACGACCAAAGTCATGGACTTGCTTAATTCACATTGGCGATGTGAAAACAACAGATATCCATTTAAATTTTGCAAATGTTTGGTAAACAAGAATATTTGCGTATCTTCAAAATAGTCAACATCTTTTCTGTCCTTATATATAATCGTTTCCCTTTCCACGCACAGATAGGAAGCTGAAATAAGATATCAGTTGTTTTTTACTTTGCTCGCACAAACAATAAAGAGCTAAAAGGTTGTTTTTTGCATTTCTGATATTTTCGGGTCCACTCAAAATATCAGAGTGAAATTTAAATACAATCAAATAAGTATATGGTGAGAATTATCAATATAAAGCGGTCTAATTACACTTTTTATACGAATAACTTTTAACGATAATTCAATCAACGGCAGATAAAATATAGACCAGTTATCGGCGGTGTGTTGCTACCATAATTACGGTTACTCATTATTTGAATTTAATATTGATAATTTCATGCAGTTAAAATGATAAAAAACCATCATTTCGACGACCATATGTGTGTAATGTTAGTACGGAACGATGAGATTGAAAGGTTCAATAAACAAATATGTATACTGTGAGCAAGTATTTCACGATAAAAGCACATAATACAGCACAATACGTACTGATATTTTTTAATATAAAAATAAAATGTCTTACATCCGTAAGATGAACTTTTCTGCACTGTGATCCACAACATGCATTTATTACGTATCTTTTACCGTAAATATGAATTCATGAGTAAACTGAATCTGATATAAGTTTTGCGATACCAATAATTTTTGATAGACTTTTCGATGCCTGTATGATATCGTAATCATGTGAAAATTTGTGACATCGAAAAAACGCTAGATTCGTGTTCCCTGGCCCCAAAAACACCCAGAAAACACATTTTTGATGGGTGTTAATTTTTCGACCGATTCCACTACTTCACCTTACACTCTAGGTGTGTGCGGAAAAGTAAAAAGAGAGAAATTTTCCACGCACGTCTAGAGCAACTTTAATTTATCATCTTTTATTGTTTTAAGTTCGGAATGGGAACAAAAACATTAAAATACAGTTGTTAATTAAAAATTGTGTTATTTCGGGCATTGAAAGTGTGTGTTAGTAAACGGCTACCAAGCAAACACACCTATTTTAATGGTTTCTATGTACGTAATTTCTATGTGTATCAATGGAAAAATTCACAAATGCTATCTAAATATAATAACTGATTAGCAAACACATAAACGAGATTCTCATTGTATTTGGTGTCAAAAAGTCATAAAAGATTTACGTACCTAAAATATGTACATTTTGCTAAAATGAGAGTTCTCTCCTATCTTTAGTCTGAAGATTACAGAGACATCAAATAAAAGAGTACAAAAATCAATGATAATAGAAACAATTTCGGACAAAACACAATCGAAACAAAGATTTACTAGAAATGTCGAGTATTATACTGAAAATAATCGGAAATACCTTTGGAAATCGTGTCACTGAAATACGCGTACACTTTCGCATACAATGATCATGACTTCGATGTGTGATTCTCAACTTAATCATTATTCGCGATTTATTTTTAACCATTAGAAGATTTCACTGCCGACCTTGAAATGTGCGAGACAGCTTTTATTTCTGACTGCGATTCTGTTCTATTGTGTATTTTGCATACTTTTATAAATCATATATGAATAATTCATATGGAATTACGTGGCGGCTTATACACACGTGGCTTGCCGACTTGTTATCGGAATTGACTGTATGAAACATTTCATACTGATAAGATCGATATTCTTCACGAAAAATCATGATAAGTACACCTTGAATTTCACAATGAATGGAATTTTTTGCCGAAATCTACACAAAACTGAGATCAAAAATGAAAGTGGAACCATAAACTTCTTAAACAACCCAATTGTCTGTAAAACTCAATGGAGTAATGCACAATCTATTACTCATCATATTTTCCCTCCTTTCACAATTTGTTACCAAACAACGTAAGTGCCATAAATACAATGCTATTAATAGAATTCTTTACTATTTTTATATTTTCTACGGTTGACGAGAAAGGCAAGATTCCTGTTATCCGACCGCCAACGGATATTTGGCTAGAAAAATGGGGTGCTGATGGTTTTGTGATTTAAATGTTTACTTAAAGCGAGCGGCAGGATGATGTGTGGCTTATTTTTAAGAGGAAAAACAACTTGATTTCATAAATAGACGAAAAAATTTGCTGGTTCAGTTTCTTTTTGTTGTCGAGGTCAAGGGCAGCGATGTTTATCGTTTCTGCAAAATGAAGTTGTCAAACTGTAAATTCAATATAATCGAGTTAAATGATAACGAAATTAATGGAATGGGTGAACAACAATACGCAGTTAACGTTGATTCACCTACTTGAAAGAATATTTAAACAGGAAATGAAGTAATCGGGCTGTACAATTGTTCATACAATATTCTACTGCTCACAAAAGAAGAAAGAATTCTCGCAATATTCATTGTCGATGCCTGAATTTCAAACCATTTAAATAAGGACAAAAAAAACTCTAGCCTGGGTGAAAGGACGTTTTGATGTCCAAAATAAAAACACAGATTTCAATTTATTTAAATAAGAAATGTTATATATTTCGATAAAGTTGAAATTTACAAGAAAAATTAAATAAAGAATCAAATCGCTTGCTTGTAAACATTCGAGACTGAAATGATTTATTGATTGAAATAAATTTTGATGATAACAAATTAAGTATGTTTCTAATTCTATAAAAATAATAATAAAATCGTCGTCAATTTCGCAGTCGATGACTTTAATGGCCTTTGACTGTATTAAGATGATGGAATGAATCGATCTGAATTTTGTAAAATCGTCGATGAATTTGACTCTGGGCATTTGCCATTTGTTACAAAATTTTCTATTGAATTTAAAAATGTTATGGATCGTTTTGAATAGTGGAATTACCATTTTATAATTTGCGAAAAAAAATGTATATGCGATATATGACGTGGCCTTATTAATTTTGACACAACAACGGATTCGACTTATAATTAACGAATTTTGTATATGTGGTCGTTTACAAATTAAGTATAAGCTAAAGTTTTCTTTTCTTTACTTTTATATTGTTAATACTTTTCTATCGAATATAATTTGGATGTGAATGATATAATCACGAAATTCGAATTTATTTCTGTCAGTTCAATGGGTTTTTTCTTTAAATATCTAATATTTGTATAATTTCTTGTTACAATCAGGTGAAATTTTATTATTTCATACAGTCTAAATTTTGTTTCTCAGAAATAATAAAAGAATTTTCCAATGTGACCAAATATGGGATTTGGGTTATCAAAATATTGATAAGAATTGCATAACATATGTTTGGATATTGAATTCGGCGAGTAAATAAGGTCAATTAAAAACAAACCACCACCTAGTAAAAACTATATTTAGTGTTTCTAAAATCTAAGAGCTGAGCTTAATTTTCGTTAGTGTTTCCATTTCAGAGCGTCCGAACAAGTTAAGTACAAGTATGTTCAATGGTTATTACCGTTGTTACATCAAAGCTTTACTTTTGCTGATCGATAATAACTTATATGGAATACACTTGCACACATACACTTGTCGAATTGTTATTTATGGTTTTGTCACGCATAAAACTGTCATTGTTTCGTTCTTTATACAATAAAATATTTATCTGTTCATGTCGCACTTGAAGGGGGAAAATGTGACTTTATTTTATGTTTTAAATTTGAACACGAAAAATCACTGACACAAACACAGTTTGCGAGGAAAAAACTAGAACAAGACACCTTTGTTTGGAAACTTTTTTGAATATGTTTATATTTGGTTTGATGTCGTCGTAATTGTTCTGAAATGTAATATTTTCGTAATGTTTAGCTGCAGAGTTGATGAACGTTTGAATGATGACATTATCACAGCTCATGGAATTAAGGTAGATTGGCACCTGTGCTGAACTTTTTTTTTTTTGATACGATTCGTTTATTGATAAATTCCGCTTGACATGAAGCATTCACGTTAATCCAATAATGGTGTATGTTCTTCTGAATAATAAGTACACTTCTGCATTCCAATTTACAGAACGATATTGTTGTTGCACGTCCCCCAAACGAATCACCAAAACAAAAACACTTACACGAACAATCACACTGTTTTGTTTTTCATTCTTTTTTTGTGTTTGATTTGCATCAGCATTTTGCACTGAACTATTGTTTAAATTTTTTCTTCACTCGAAACTGGTACTGATTTTTGAGCAGCGCTGAAAAAAATGGATGCATTAATTTTGAGCAAATACTATAGCGCAAATTATGTGGCGCATCATCTTCATCCTCATCGTCGACAAATTAATTCAATGTATTGTGTGACCGATTCAATTCACGGATTTTATCTTCGATTTGTGGTGTCAATGCATTGGCCATGTCTCGAAAGTGGGCATCGTGGGTTTGTACATATTTTTGCATTACAGCAGTACGGAATCTCATAAGATCGTGTATTTCGGGTGAATGTTTGTATTGCATCCAAGTTGAATTTTGCTGATTACCATTCGTCGCCGACTGTACAAGACCATTCGATTATTTTACAAGAGTTTGTTTTTGTTGGAAGGAGTTCAAAAATGGAATTGAAACAAATTAGAAAAAAGAGAAGAAATAAAGAGAACTGATTAGTTTCGATTTGGATATGAATACGATGACAAAAAAAAAATGATGAGAACTAGTTTATTCTTTGATAGGATTCACTGTGACATTTGTGCACAAAGAAAAAATTAAATAATTTTATTTTCGCATCATTTTACACAAAAATAAATCTAGTTAATTTGTTCTTGTTTTGTTTTTTTTCTGCATTTTTTCCACCAGTTTTCGATAATGTTTCGCAAATACACGATTACATTACACAATTGATGTATTAAAAATTCATTTGCAATTAGAAATCAATCAATAATTTACACGTACATTGTTTTTGAGCGACAATTCACTGAATTTCAGTTGGACTTTGGATAGATTCTTTGAACTCATCTTTTTCACGCAATGAAATCTCAATCGTGGACTGAAATTTTCTCGTTCGCTCGTGAACTGCACGAATTTATCATAGGAATTTTCCACTGTGTAATTTCGTATGCTGCGTGCAAACTGTTTCTTTTTTTCGTTATTTCTCTCTATATGTGTATTGCTGTGCAGTGTGTATAATATGCTCAAATTGCGATGACGGGGCCAACAGCAACAGCAGAAAACGACAAAAAATAGCTTTACGGATAGATAAACTGAAGAAGGAGAAGAAGACGAAGTGTAATAATGGTGTCGATTCAATAGCCTTTCAAAGAGCTTCTAGCTGAACATTCAATTTCGTTGAATTATTATCTTCGAACCAAGTATACTTTTGATCAATGTTTTCTTTTGAAACACGTAGCAAATTGTTTGCGTTTTGTTTTAAAATTATAATTATTTTTTTCGTATGAATAATTGTCAGGAGACCGAATTTTTATGTCTTAACAACTCGAACGTTCCAGAATAACTGAGCACAATTCGGTCGGCGGCGACGAAGGCTTATAGCGTTTCGCAGACAATACATAGGTCTGATGTTGTGCGTATGCAGTGAGCAGTCGAACGTAGTGTAGAGTAATAGCACAGTTTTTACTCATACGAAAACGCAAGCGAAGTATGCACATCAGCTGTACGATTGAATGTGAATAAAAGTGAAGAATGAATGTATGCAAAATAACCAAAACAAACAAAACAGTACGCAAGCATGGATACGTCGGTGAATGTTGTTAAAGTATGCGTGTATACGATGCGTCATTTCATATAAATTCATTCAACGTATCCTTACAGTGAACACGCATATGTGCGTGGTCATTGGCATCCGGCATACATCTTGAATAATCTACAACATTCACTTTCTTTCATTGATTTGCACACCCTTCATTAAAAGAAACAAAGATATATCAAACATTACAAACCAAACAGTTAACTGGTTATTAACTGGGTAAAAGGTTATTTCGATTTTTATTTCATTTAATTATTCAGAAAATATTCTGTTTTTATTTACAATCTTATTCGGTGCTTAACCCAACTTTTTGAATGACCACAAGTTGAATGAACGAAATCGAACGAACGAGCCAAATACGAGAGTATTTGTTGTGAGAATTAGTGTTTACAGTTTCCGATTGACTCAAAAATTGGTTGTTTCCTTTGGATGACTAACTGAAGTAAGATTTAATTTTTGGCGCTTACACTAGTGCGCGAATACGTAATGATGGCGAAAATTCGCTTTTCGAATAATGATGAACCGCGTGCGGCGAATTGATCAAATGTCAAACAACTTCAATTGTTTTTTTATGATGCCAATAAAAAAGACGGCGTTTGTTGTTCTATACACCAACAAAAACTATCGTCCAGAAATTTGCGCAAAATATATTCAATTCCAAACCATTAATATTTGTGAAACAATTCTTTTTGTATAATTTTGTCTTTTTACAGTGAAAACAATTTAGAATCATCGAATGTTAGTGAAAACGTGAATATTTTTGTTTATTTTGTGAAATTCTTGACGCTCACACATACTCACACACACATACACGCAGAAGAAAAAAAAATTAGTGAGAAGAAAAAAGAGTGCGACGTTATGGAGCAATCGGAAAAATCGGAACAGCCTGGAGAGGTCATTGAAGATTTGAGTATGAAAAAAATTGATGAAGAAAAAACGGAGGCGAAAGAAATAAATGAAGATATTGAAAATGAAGATGTGGAAATGAGTGAGCCCACGGAAAATGAAGAGAAACCAGAGTTAGAAAACGATGCAGAAAAAACTAAATGCTATGATGAAAACAAAGAAACCGAAACGAAAACAGAAGAAATCGAACCTTTTGAAGAGAAAGAAGAGGTGAAAAAGCCTGAAAACGAAAGTGAGACTGAAAAAGATGTACCTGCAATAGATACAACACCCGAAAAAGATAATGACAGTGATGGAGACGATGAAAATGATGAGGTTTGTTATTCATTTTTAAGGGTCATTGTACTTTCCATTTAACTTAATTGAATTGTTCAAAATTTGATTAGGATACGGAGGGTGGACCAAAATTGGAGTTTCAAGTCGGGCGAACGGTTACACTTCAAATGCTTTTGGCTGCAAAATTGCTCGAACCCGGACCAGCCGCAATGAGTATTGAATATTTGGTGAGAAAGACAATCAATTACCTATTTGAAACGATTATTGACCGAGTGTGTTATTTTTTAAAAGGGTCAAAAATTTGTCGGTGACTTATTGCCCGATGGCAGAATCAAATCAATTGAGACAGAGACGATCTTTTGTTCACCCAGCGCATGGGCAATGCATTGCAAGAGAATTATCAATCCGGAGAAGAAAAGGTACAACACATTGTTTTTTTCTTTTTGTGTCCAGTGTGTTTTAAGTGAATTTTATTTGGTTTCAGTGGCTGTGGTTGGGCATCGGTTCGATATAAGAACAAAAAATTGGATGCCATCAAAACAACTTACTTGAGAAAGTGTCAAATTCAAAGAGACTCTAACCTCAGCGATGAAGGTGAGATTTTCAAAAGAAAACGTCAATTTGAAAAATTAGCTTAATGGCATTTATTTCATTGAAACAGCCGAAGCTGATTTGGATTGCAAGCCAGGACTGCCCGAGCTCGAAATCAAACGCATTGTATTACCATTCAACACAGTAAACAATCGTCATATTGTTCAGTGAGTTGAATTTCAATTACTTTGACGAAAACAATAAATTAAATCAACAAATGATATTCTTTTCGATTTTTGTTTGAAATTGTAGTGATCCCAATACACTGGTGGAATCTGTTTCGTTTGTATCACTGAACAAACTGCAACCATTTTTGGTATCAATCACAACATCCTCAGTGTTGCTCATGGATTTTCACTGTCATTTGACAAAGCAAGAGGTGTGCGGCTACTTGGGAGGAAGTTGGGACAACAATACCCAAAGTGAGTTAAATGTGAATGAAAATAAAATGAAGTTCCATCCGTATAATACATCTAATTCATTTCAGCATTGGCAATAACACATGCATTCCCCGTGCGAAATACTCGCCATGATCGTCACTATGCTATTGAGATTGAACAGCAAATTCAGCGTAATATGTTGAAGAAAAATTTGATTTTGGTCGGTTGGTATCATAGTCATCCTCGTATTGCTGCTCAGCCAACGTTAAGAGATTGCGATGCCCAATTGGAGTATCAAATTAAAATGTGTGGAATATCAGATGAAACCTATACACCGTGCGTTGGATTGATTTGTGCGCCGTATTATTCAGAGAATCCGACATTGGAATCGAGTATCAGTGCATTCTGGGTGGTTCCACCGCTCGACAATCGACCAATGGAATATGGTCGCCCGATGTCGATGCAATTTTCCGTATCACAAGATCTTGAAATGTCCGAACACATAAAAACTGAAATGCTGTTGGCAATCGACTACTACCGGCAATATGACAACGAAATGGTAAATTTCGATGCAAAATACGACGACGACGTTACATTCATTGAAAAATTAAAGACAACATTATATACGAAATTTCCGCGTGAACAAAATGATTTTGAGTTTTGGAATTGGTTGCGGCAAAATTTAGGTCTGCAACCAGAAACTGAATTCACTCCGCCGAAATTGTGGTCATCAAGCAACGAACAAAACGCACAAGGAAGTCAAATAAATACGCGTGGCACGGCAGTAGAATCAACCCAAATGACAACCCATAAGATGGCTCCCATTTTTGGCGTAAAAGATGTGGAAATGAAAGAGCCGGAAATCGTTGAAATTAAAGATGACGATGATGATCGTATTAAAGACTCAGATATTCCGGCAAATCTATCGATGTCAACAAGTATGGATTCAAAGGATATCAAAGATGAGAAATTGCAAATTCGATCGCTGCAGGAACAATTGAAATTGCCATCGGGTTTGAATATGACACCATCACCAATATCATCGATTCCATTGTTGCAACCAACAAAAAGTACATCAAGTTCAAGTACGGCCACAAACAATCCCGTTCCAATGGTTTCACCGCGGGATAGCCCCATTTCAACCCCATCGAATTCAGCTAGTCCGGCCACAAAATTCGATATAAGACCACCGGCCACACCATCACCGGCCAAATCAGATGCATCATCGACACGAAATCGGAATTCACCATTGCCGGCCAACTTAAGCAAATATCCTGCTTATCACAATACACCAACATCAACGAAAACAGGTATCGAATATTTTCATATTGTTTCATTCAACTCGAATTTAACCCAAAAAAATGTCTTTCAGGTTCCATTGCAAACGACTCAACTTTGGCCGCCACCAAAGCCATGGAAGAATTGTTGGCTGCCTCATTTCCAGGCGGTAAATTCCCATACTCGTCCAATGACTATGCTACTCTATTGCAACAAGCATCGTCTAAAGATCTGACTGCTGCCGCGAATCTGTTGGCATCGATTCCACCTGGCGATAAACACGCTTCATCTTTAGCAGCTGCTGCATTGGATCCATCAACCAATATGAAAGATTTCTTATCACAATTGGAGAAAAGTACTGAGCTTAGCTATCTATTGCAACAACAATATCAATATCCAGGCTTAGCTGGTATGTCACACATGGGTCAAGGCTCAAATTCATCATCGAATGTACAAATTACTACACCGAAATCAACGAAACATTCAAAACGTAATTCACGTTCGTCGTCAAATTCATCGGTACAGAGAAATTTCGAGGATGAATTCAAGAGTGAATCGAGCAAAAAATCTGATCCATCGAATAATTCGTATCATGAGTATGCACAGTTTTTATTAAATCAAGCAGAAGCATTGAATGCAGCTGTTGCCCATCAAAATTACGGTGAGATTTCGTCGATTGTATCGGCAATAAATACATTGCCAACAAATACATCGGTGAGTGCAATGTCGTCACGTAAATCGCGTAAGTCGTCGACGACCACTCAACCAATTCAATCCGTTTCATCACAACCATCACTTGCCGAATTAAGCCAATTGTTGCACGGGACATCTTCATCGAGCTCAAAAATGCAAGAAATTTTACGACAAATGGAAAGCACCACGGCTGGTTTGAATATAAAACAGTCCCAGAAACAACAACACCAACAGCAGCAGCAACAGCAGCAACAACAACATCAACAACAGCAACAACAACAGCAGCAACAACATTTGAATTTACTTTCATCAATGCAACAACAATTAGGCCAATCAAGCAAAGGTTCTTCCAGTGGTTCATCGTCAAAAAATAAACAATCGCAAAATAATCAAATTTCCGACTACATGACATTGCTGTCGCAAGCAAAAATTCCTGATCTGGCCACATTAATGGCTCAATCGTATGGCAGTGGAAACGATGGAAGCGATTTATCAATGCTACTTCGTTCTCAATACGATCAGCATGGCATGAATAAAAATTCCGATTTGGCATCGTTGAATGCATCAATTGATATGCTTGGCAATTTGTTTTCATCGGGCAAAAATCCGTCCGATTTAAATTCCATCAATTCACTCCTATTTCCGCAAGGTGGCAAAGGTGTATCATCACAATCGGATATAACAAATTTCTTAGCGGCTGCCGGCCATCAGTCGATGAATCCACCATCATCATCACAGTCATTTTCAAAAAGTTCAGCGCTTAACAATCCATACTACTCACAATCGGCCGCCGCTCTCGATAAAGCACAACAAGACTTAATTGCATTATACAGTGCAAATCCGATTTCATCGTCAATGTCTGGTGGTAGCAGTAAATTTCCAACCATTCCAGATCCATTATCGAAATCAACTTTGGCCGCAAACAATATGTTCATGAATCCATCATCAATTTATGCAAAAATCCAACAGGATGCATTGAACGCAATGATCATGAAGCCACCGTCAAAGACCAGTTCAAAAGGTGAATCAAAATCACGTGAAACATCCGAGTCGCCAGCATCACGCATAATGGCATCACCATCATCGACTCCATCACCGTCATCAACAAAACATAATTTTAGCGTTGTTGATTTGGCTGTTTCGAGTGTAAATCAAGGTCGGCCATCCTCACGATCGCCGCACAAAAAGCAATTTTCAATATCAGACTTGGTGTCACCGCCACCATCCAAAATGATGAAATTTGCCGAAAACTTTGCACATGACGCTCACAACGATGACAAGGCTGAAGTATTAAATCTATCCGGCAACAGTTCCGATAAATAATTTAAAACAATTTAGACTAATCTTCTACAAGTATTCAAGCACAAAAAAAAATCTTAGAACTGAAAAGTATTCAAGCGATTATAGTTTTGGACATTTTTTTCTATTTTCGAAATTTCGTCGGTAAATTTCACTTTATATTTATTTTAATCGAATTTTTAGCTGTAACGTATTTGTTCGTCATCATTCATCATATTTTTCACAAAAGAAAAAAAAAACCGGGAAAGTATTTGTATTTTGGGCTCTCTCCCGACTGAATCTCTATATATATTTGGAAGCATATTCTTTATTTTCTATAAGTTTTGCGAAAGTATTATTTTTTTGTTCTTTTGTAGCTCAATAAATAAATTCATATCTAACGGCTCTATTATTAATTATGGAATAAATTATATTTAGTAAATAATTGGAAGTTTTACTGCAAATTCGTGCCGAATCGAAATTCAAATTGAGAAAAAAAAACTATTGAAATCAAATTCGCAGTGCACACGATTGCTGTGTTCGAAATTCGCCCGATGTTCGAATTGGATTTTCGAAATCGCTTCAATGCAGCGAAGTTCATTTGACATTTCGTACGATTTGTGAAACGTCAAACTCAGAATTCTTTAAAACATAAACGCTGTAGACTATAACATCAACTGCGTTTTTGTGAGAGAAAAAACCGCTACATTAAATCCAATTTTAAACTGTAAAATCTTATTGATTACCACAAAGAAAACCAAGCAACAATGTTGTCGTCAAAGATAGAACAACTCATAGTAATACTCGAAAATCAGGAACTCGATGTAAGTATTCAACATATTCTATTGTGTTGCATTCAATGTGTAAATTTGTGATAGTAAAAATAAGACTTTTCGTTTGTCTGTAATTTGTAGTCAACGAATGGAGTGTCGCCACAGTTGTACGCCGAATTGATGGCCGCATATCTCTACAAAAATGATCTGTAAGTAGAATTCAATCGATGTGAATAGAATGAAAAAATGATTTGTCATTATTTTGATTGTATGGTTTTGTTGGTGTCTTTTTTCACATATTCAGCTGTAGCGCACGATTTTTGTGGAAACGAATCCCGGCAAATGTGAAAACAGGAAATGTTGAATTGGAAAAAATTCACAGCGTTTACATTTGCCTGTGGAACAATGATATCCCCGGCTTCTTCAAAACCATCAACCACGAATGGTCCAACAACATTGCCGAACTCATGTTCGAACTTCGAGGTATACATCACAATTATATTAGAAAATAAAAGATGTGAAAATTGTGTTTATTTCATGATTTCGGCATTGGATTTCATTTCAGAAAAAACGTACAAGGAGACAATTGATTTGATTGCCAAAGCGTATACATCATTATTTGAAGATTTCTTATGCAACATGTTGAATCAGACACCTGATGTCATAACCGAACTGTGCAACAACTTGGGATGGGAAGTACAAGAAGGCAATTATCCACGTTTGATCACACCACGTCGCCCGCCGGAGGTCAAAAGTAATACCGATTCAGCGGAAAATCTACTGGCCAAATTGACTGATTTCGTTTCATTTTTGGAGAATTGATTGGAGCATTTTTGCAAAAAAATATCGCGAAATTTATGCTAAATTAATATGACACAGTCCACAATTAATGTAAAAACCTAAATACAATCATTACTTAAGTGAATATTCAATATCAAATAAATATTTCTAAAAAAAAAAAAACAATTTAAATTGATTTTATCCATCTTTCACGAAAGGAGACTGAGATGAGAATTTGATGAATGATGGTGAAGGGAATCGTTTGACATTTGTCCAGCAATGGAATGAGGAATTTGAACTTTGTCCTTATATGAGGTTTACTTTTAGCACAAACAAGAACGGTGATTTTGACATTAGAGGGTAATACCATGATATCGTATCAACACCTAGATAAACAGAATGGTTCATTACAGTTCATGAATCTTTTCATCAAAACTAAAAGGTGACCCTAGATCTCACATGAGATCTCATGGTCAGTAATGGTTCCGTCATCATTTCAAACAAAAACACCTCATGATCATTGACAGTTCGCTGATGTCGCCATTGTTTGTCAATCAGTTTCAGTTTTTCCCTGCACCTTTACTTCACGGTACCAAAATATGGATTTCAAAGCTTTGGTGATTAAAATAACTACTTTCTGTACACCAAGAAGTTGGTATTAATATCATAAACCAGAGATGGGAAGCTCGTTGTGAATACACACTTTATGTAACATAAATTATGTTCACAAATAAAATTGAAATAATTACAATGACCACAATAAAAACCGTGAATTCAGGAAAAACAATAATCTCACTGATCAGATTTGACGATTTAATGTCGGTTACTCAGTTGCTGTCCAAATGCTACAGCTTGAATATCACTAAACTGTACATCGATATTTGCGTCATAAAACATTTGGGGCATATAAAAAATAAATGGGCTGTGGCCAAACATATTCTGATCGCATGAAACGGATGTTTAGACAACGAAAAAGAAAAGTACAATGAGGTATATTGATTGAAAACAAAAAGATATTCACCACGAAACATATGCCATCAAATCGATATCATCAATGGGGTGGTGAATGATGTGCGGACGTTGTTCTTTCTTATTTCACATAATATGAGCATTAAAACCAGTTTAAGACACTTAACATACATCGACAGTGAATGCGTCGTTTAATGGCAAAACTTGTGTCCTCTCAGTGGACCATTCACAAGACATTACAAAAACAGAAATTCGTTTTGTTTGCCAAATAACCCAATCCACACTCATTTATTTTCGTTTATTTGCTAAAACACAAATTTTTAGTGTGCTGTTATTTTTTGGAGCATTTTTCTGGTCGCTTTGCTTCGGCAATTTCGCAACACATTAATAGCAATAACCGTTGAGAGCATTAACGAAGTGGCAACATTGGACATTTTGTTTTTGTTGTTGTACAAGTGTGTGTGGTGTGTATGTAAAGCTAATGACCGAATGATAAATACATTTAATTTTGGACCACGTTCACATCACTATCAAACAATGTATAAATGCCAAAAAGTTGTGCGCTTCACAGGATACGGGTGACTGCATACAATGCGTATGAAAGGCGTCCGATGGGTTAAACGGCAACCGATTACAAATTCACATCTGTAACATTATCTTATTTCAAGTCTTGGCCTGCAAAATAGCAACAGCATCAAATTTCATGCATTGCTTGAGTGTAATTTAAATGAATAGACAGTATACACCAAAATGATAGTCATATTTCGCCAACTCAAATTACAATTTTAGAATATATTCTGTCTATTTCGTTGTTTTCGTTGGTTTTTCTTCAGCCGAAAATGGATTCAAACTGCAGCTATTTTTCGGGTTGAAAATAAAAACAAATATTGAACATCTTTGCCAAATGTATGAATATGTGTGCATATTATACAGAAACAAAAAAACGATCACAGATAAAAACAGTGAAAAGCGAGTGCAAGAGTTTTTGGATTAAGCCACTGTACAAACATAATATAAAATGGTGAAGATGTAATCTTCTTGCATCGTTCTCCTTTTGGCGGCGTATTCTTCAAGGCAACAAAAAGTCAAATGAAACTGAAAAAATAAGCAACTTTTCCAAGTTTGAAATAGCTTATGCCGAATCGCAAATTATATAAGAAATGGATTTTGTGGATTTTATTCTGAAGAAAAACTGAACATGGTTCACCCTCTTTTGCCAATATTGAACACGATTTCCTTTTTTCTCTCAATCTCTGTTTATTTCGATGTTTATTTGAACGCTCAATACAAAAAAAAATTGGAATGAAAGGAAAAAACAGAAAAAAACGGACGAAATCAAAGCATCGTTTTCATGATGACGTGTGTTGGTGGCGCTTCGAAACACACCGAGATTGAACGAGCACGTAACTCAACATGACATCGTTGGAAATTGAAGCCGTTTTCATTTAGTGCGGAAATTTTATTTTCAGAAGTCGAAAAAAGGGGGCCACAGAGAAAAAGAACGAAGAATGCTTATTTGCCCGCCTTCATAGTATCTGATTTGCGCCGCAATTCCATATCCAATGCCATCATTGAAAACATATAAAATCGAAGCTCAAATTGTGAGTACGTGCCGTCATCACCTCTCCCATTCTCTCTTGCTGTGACGGTTTCTCCATATATCCTTCGGCTTCGACAATTGTGACAACGAACAGAATATATGCCTCGCATTGAGATTAGCGTTAGATGCATTCAGTGTACACTGTATACTACATTTGAATTGGTGGCGATATGTGATCTGACCATCAAACCATATTCAATTGATAAATTTTTATCACTTGGGTTTGTTCGTAAAAAAATAATCCAGATGCATTTATTTGTGTGTATGTCGGTCTTTTCATTCACTGTCTGTGCCATTTGCCAATGTTGAATGTCGCACCAATGCTACCCGAATTCACAAAGGACAGCTAAACATATAATACGGGTTTTATAGATCTAATGCCTGTCGAAAGTACCGACACAAGCATAAAAATTGCATGACATTTTCCGTTCCCTTGTTCAGTTATCGAATTCACAAGTCATGTCAATTTGACCATTGGGCATACGGCTATATATAAAAACGTACACACACGCGCGCTCACATAACGGCATCGAGGGTATATTGCGATGGATTTCGAATACAATGGAAAATCAAGTCAAAATCATTTGCAAACAGATCGAATTGGAGAGATAGTGTAGCTGACATTCCGATGTGTGTATTATTGTGTATCACCCACTCACTCTTGGCTGAATTTATCCACTTTCTCATTTACAATCTGAATACGTTTTTGAAATGGTCAACGGGTCTTTCTTCTCATACCGATATTTTCAGCACCACCACGACCAACACCACACTACCACCTTCAGTATCGACCAACAACAGTGATCGCCGTCGTCATAGTGGTTGGAGTTGGGACCAAAAAAAGAGAATGTATCGTCACAGGCGACTGACTGTATGAGCGGGGGCATTGTGCACGCTTTTCTTTGAATATCATCAATATTTCAAAATGGTATGTGTGCATTCGCATTCGCATTCAACCGACGAAGCGTACACCACATTTCGGATCTCTCACAATTCAACTTTTGCTCTCACATCCGTACGAGAAGAGATATGGCATCGAATGTCTGCTATATATGCGCGACACAAAAAGCAAAATGAAAAAAGAAAAAAGTCGTCGAGAAAAAATTAAATCAAACGGAAAAGATGGAAGGGGCTGTAAATCGACTGAAGCACACACACACACACGCCATTCGCACATAAATTCGGAACGAAGTCACGAGCATGGTCACACATGTAACACAATTATATATAAAATATAAGCGCATGCAGTCGGATAGGACAAACATAGATAAAGTACAGTATAATATAGTAGCCGAATGAAGCACACCATGAAGTGAAAAGATACGACGGCACCGATACTACGGTGTGCTCTTGTTTCCATGGGCAATGCAAAAGAATAATACCCCAAAGTCCTTATTCAGATCATGTATTTGTGCAAACATCATCAGATATGGAAGATGTTCATGGCATTTTCAATGGGGATACCATCGAATGCCGAACAACTTTTCCGTCTCAGCTCTGAACATCACCACCTAATATGCACTGACGTCAGCCAGAGCATGTTTTATCGGCTAATTGCCATGTTTTACCTTCGATTATCATTTTCTTCTAAATTAATGTTCACATCGTCCATTTTTTGTGTGAATAAATTCAATTAAAATTTGCAAGACTTAAGCAATAATTGCTCGTCTTTTGCCGTACTTCATGAAAATTTCAATTATTCCGCCCGTTCTTCTTTCGTGGGAGCAGAATTGGGCACAATGATCCTTGATTATGCCCACTAAAATTCCATTGGCCACAGCGCGATGGTGATGACGATGACAACGACGATAGACGTTTTTCGGTACACAAATAGTGACACGAGCGTACGCAATAACTTGCATTAGTCTCTCGTTTCATTACAAGCAAACGCCCGTTTGAATATATTTACCCATGGTTATTTGCTCATGCAATGTTTGTACCTAAACGTCGGTTGGACTTTATTTTGTTCAGTTCAGTCATTCGCTTGCTGTTACTCTATGCTCAACCCGGTGCTGAATAGAATATTCAACAAAAGCCACACTACCAAAGTCGTCACTCTATTTTGTTCATTTTTGTTCATTTGCTTGGTTAGAGTTGGCTGGTTGGATGGTCGGTTGTTCGGTCGGTCGATGCAATACGCAAGGATAGTCTCAAATACCACATAAAATAGAAATGGCAAACTATTATAGATTCATCAAGGCATTGCCATGGGGTAGCATCGAAAGGAGCAAGAGCTTTATAGATGTGGTCGGAACGAAATTGGCAAATGTACAACTTCGTTGAGTTTTTCTTTTTGTTTCTTCCTTTTTATGTCGTTTGTGAAACCGTTTCAGTCAATTCGGTTGTGTGGATGTGTTCGCCAGTGTATGTATGAGTGAGTGGTTCTTTTTTTTCTTGTGGTTTTGGATTTGTTGTTTTTAAGTTCCAAAATTCCAACCATTCCATTTCGACAATCACAGCAGCGGCTGTATTTTCAGATTTTCTCACATTTGACGAATACACGAAAAAGCAACAACACTGCTTAGTGTCCTGCTTGTTTTGTGTGTTGCTTTTTGGTATCGTT